TTGTATAAAGAAACTAATAAAATATTAATAAAGGATTGACCTCAATAAAATAATTTGTCACTAACGAAAACGCAACTAACGTAACATGTCATTATTTTCTTTTACAATTTCAAATCTATTTTATTCAGCCTTTTTATATCATTGATTTCAGACACACATACGCTACTTCAATATTAATAAAAATAAAAACACTACATAAAATTACAATGTTAATTGACTTCATAGACAGCGACTGAAAATTTTAATAATTAATTGTAAATTTGGCACTCGAAAAGGTTCAATTATTCAAGCAGAGTCAGGTATTCAAGAAAATTATTATTACAGCTCCCCTCAAACCATAGCAGCAACCCTAACATGTCAATACACAGGATCTGCCCTGACTGACAGCCCTTTCGAATTACGTGGCCTTCTAGCTGAACTCGACTCAATCGATCCGTCAATTTAAATGTAAGAATATATCGATGGATCGATCGTCTTATCCTAACCTTTTAGTGCCATCCAAATCGTGGCGAACCCGACAAAAATAGTAATTGATTGGAAGCTACTCGAACAACAACTCTATTTGGTCTCCTCGAATATATCCCAATCCTCTGACAGCGTTAATTCAGTAGAGGAAGCGATGATCGAGAAATTATCATCCAATTTATGACGGAATCGATAAACAACTCGACGAGAAAAATTACACTGTCACAGTGTGCTCCAAGCCAAAAACTATGTTAAACGAATCGATTGTGTAAGATAGACGAGAAAGTATATATTTCTGAGAATTTCGCATTCACTCTCGGAAAAATCATATCGGAAATGTCAGATATAATCCTCTTACTAAACGTGAAAAAGGCCCCAGGACCTGACTGCGTCACGAGCAAGTTAAAAATTCTTGTGGCACAAAATTATCTACCTATTGGTCCCTATTTTCAACCCGCTACTGGATGGATAAATATTTTTCAAGCAATTAATAAATACCATCCGTGTTTAACACTCTCGTAAATTCAACCAAACAATCGTCTTGCAAAAACTAAAGAAGGAAGATAACGCACTTAAAACAGTCCCCACAGAGCAGTTCGTCTTTTAGTATCCATTCAGAGCATAGCTTAACCGACCACATGGTCAATGGGCCACGTAGTAGACTCACTATTATGTTAGTTAAAAACATCTTCGAGGAGGTGTAGGCCTGCGAGAGAGTGTGGCTCAACAGCTTGAAAACCTGCAAACTATTCAAGCTGTTGGTGTCGCACAGGTTCATTATAAGAAAGGCACCTTATGAGCCTACTTGTTGAATCGCTTTTTCTGCACATGGAGCAAATATTCGACTCGCCTCTCTTCACCTTAGGGTGTCCTCTTTCCACTTCCATTTCAGCGATATCCCAGTACCTAATATACATACCAACCTGTCTTGACTCTCTTGGGGATGAAACTGCAAATTATGGGTTATATGGGTCCACGGACTAAATTCTTACTCTTTTTCATAAAGGGCCGCATGCCTTTGTCAAAGGGTTTCATTGATTGATGATAGAGATACTCAAAAAACACCATTTTCAACTTCACTAGACAAGGCACTTCGAATAAACTAATTAGATTATATGAGTGCCCTATTCCTTGGCAAAGGTGGTATAAAAGAATTATTCTGATTGGTGTAATAAAAGAATTAAAGGTAATTGGTGTAATAAAAGAATTAAAAGAATAAAAGAATTAAAGGAATTAAAGGTGTATATAAAAGAATTATTCTGATTAATTATCTCATGTTCCGTCATCCTGTTCCGGTGACGTTATAGTAAAAGACGCAGTGTTAATAGCAACACACATAGCACAAAAAAAAACTTCTTTTGAAATTCCGTCAGCTTTTATATCTGTTGTTACATTTTATTCTCATTTATTGTTATTCTCATTTAAAAGACGTCTTGAACGCACAATTGTAATGATAGTGGGCTCTTCTACTGGCTTTAATCTAGAAAGTATAATTAATTATTTGTATTGGTCTATATTATCAGTACCCTGAAATGTCTTTAATGAATTTAAAAAAATAATTACCACCTAACCTTACTGTATAATGTATACATAAATTTCTTAACTTAGGACTTTGATTCTACTTCATTATGTATGACCACTAGTTGCTACCTTTTAAGTGCCTTTGTACACTACACGCAAGGCATAGTTTTTGAATAAGCATGGAATGTAAACATAACCCAGGCTTGTAGCATGAACAGGATTCTCGGTCGCTGAGGTTGGTAAAACATGGCAAAAAAGAAAACCTGTCTGCAGTTGGACACTCGTTAGCTGCTGGTGTGCGAGGGCTTTAAAAATGATAAGTGCTTTTATACGAACCCATTTTACGTTAAATTTGTTTAGTAATTATGCTGTCCATATAAATGAGCATAACATTAATGTCTTAATTGAAACATTGTTCATAAGTATTCTGTTTATAATCCCGTTTTGTCATAAGTAAATTCATTTTGAGGATAACAGCGAAAAGAATCTTCATATATCACTAAATATAATGAGTGGTGTATACGAAAAGGATGACAATTTATACGAACATATTTAAGATGTCACAACAATACCATAAATTATGTAATAAGCTGTCTAGTGTTTTGAAATAAACATTCATATATTTATGGTACAAACGGTTGGAGATATAATTAATGTAACAATAATTTTAATAAGCACATCATTATCATGGGAGTCAATTAGCTATAGGTAATTTGACCATCAAAACCCAACAAAAAATATTAACTGAACGTCCAGCAAGTCATTATCACGAACATAAAATGGGTCAGATCTCCTTATAAGTACAGCTTATTATAATTTATGGCAGGATACAGTCTGGCATTGAACTTGAGAGTAGGGGGTGTGACTTGCAAGCCTCCAAGGCCGCACAGCATTGTATTAGCCCATCGATTTATCGAGCGGCGCGCGCTGCTCGCCCCGGCCAGGGGAGCCCCCCCTGTCTCGGAATGAGGCTTGCCTAACGCTTCTCTCCCCACATAAGATTCTATTACACCTTTTTAATATAGAAATGTTTTTATTTTATTATCTGTGTCAGTGTTGGTTTCAATTTATCTTGTTGTTTTTTTTTATTAATAAAATAAACATTTTTTTGTTTTCGTATTTCAGTTCTATATGTTTACACTTTTTATTGTTATTTTTTCATAATTGATTTTTTTTTGCTTTGATATATTAAATATTGTAATAAAGATAAAAATATTGATGAGTTTATACAAGTCCTCGAAATATTTTCAGTAGTTCAGTGATATTAATTAAAAACTTATTTAATTATCTTTTCGCGTTCCAAAATCAGTAAACTAAAGTTTTATTCTCCATTTTAACTAGCACTCTAAATTCACAAGACACTTTCATGATACTTGTATTTACTAAGAACAAAATTTAATGCCCTGTTACCAAGTACAGTTTGGGGCTCTATTTCATAAACTATTAGGTTCCGTAGGGTCTAAATCTCATTATACAACACGCTCGTCTGCATACAGAGTAAGCTTAAGTTAATTTACAGTGAAGACGTTTCTCAAGGGATCCCTAGCTGATCTCGGCAAACGGTGCTTTGATATGCTCTCCTATTCCATACATGAACTGAATTTATATCAAGGAGAATCCTTAAGTATAATTACATTTATGTAATTAATGAATGTATTAGAGGCGGTGATAACAAACGTTACGCATAACTGAAAATGACCAGAAAATAACCATAATTTAACATCAATATTACAATGTTTTTTTCTTTGACAATACTAGTTTCGCAGTATTTGAAAACAAATATTAATTTAAATAAATAGTGACTATTATTTGATATGAATTTTTGTTATTCTATTTTCTTTTAAGTGGGTATATGAACAACGATTTATTAACCACTAACTGTCGCTCGCTACTTTGTCTACGTAGGTGTATAATCTCTTTAAATTAATCGCCTCTGTTCTACTTTGAATCCTATCTTACTTACCTCACTTATAACATTCTTTCAAATAGATTTAGTGTTCATAATTTTTCATTCGTATAATAATAATATTTCATTAATATTAATAGTTGTTTCACAGACATTAGCCAATAATAATCATCTCAATTTTGAGTATTCAGCGACATATTTTTATAAAATCTAATAGACTTCTTCATATACTTAAGTTAAAAACAAATCATAGCATCATTTGTTGAACTTTGTCACATATAATATAAAAATATTTAAAATTCTGTTTAAACAGACAGAAAAATCCTTGACTTTGTTGCCCGAGGTTTTATCGGCCTTCACTTCAATATTCATTCGCAACTTTATATCGAACGATGAAACAATGTAATGTGTCCCTTGAGACCGATTCGGATGTCCGATGAAATAATTATTACCCGCTGGCTTTGGGTTCCAAGGTTCATGTTCTCGATGGAACGTACATATAGATACGTAGAAGTAGCGGCAAACTGTTGAATGTAACGGAGTACAATGTAACGGTAATGTTCTAATATAGCTGATATAAAATAGAACGCATTTGAAATTGTACTTAGTGTCATTTTTATAAAAGAAATTCTACTAGAGAGTCAATTAATCTGAATGCCAGTTTCATTATTTACTTTTAACAATATTATATTATTTTAAATTTTTGTTCCATAAAGCGTATATCAATTGTCTTGACACTGTAAACTCCAATTCCATTGATGGCCATTAAAGATCCAAAGCACTCACATTCGAACGATTTCATTGTGATTGATTCACCATTTCAATGGTAGTAAAACTCTTTCGATTTTAAGCTAGCTAATGGATCCACGTACCTTTTACTACTGCATTCTATTTATTTGAAGACGGTTGTGCTTGAATTATGAAAACTTTCTCACTATGGTATATCTAAGTAGACATTAATTTATTTATTTTTTGTTCCAGGTACATGAGACAGTGGCTAAGGATTGAGTAGTGTAGAAATGAATTTTGATAAATACTTGATAAAATTAGCAGACTACTTCCGATTAAATACGTCGCGTTAAGAGTTGTTAAAAGAAACGCCAGAAAAATGGGTTATAATATTAAAATTATACTTACCAAATTGTTGTTGTGCGTTTGTATATCGAGAGTGTGGGCTCGGTCATGGGCAAATCATCATGATACTACGTCCTCTACGACTCAAACGACACCCACAACCAGTCCTATACCGAAAAATTTTCATAACGATCCTCTGATTGTCGAAACTAAAAGCGGACTTATCAAAGGCTATGCTAAAACTGTCATGGGTCGTGAAGTACATATTTTTACTGGTATCCCATTTGCCAAACCACCTTTAGGACCGCTAAGATTTAGAAAACCAGTCCCGATTGACCCTTGGCATGGAGTTTTAGAGGCAACAGCTATGCCTAATAGTTGTTATCAGGAAAGGTATGAGTATTTTCCGGGATTTGAAGGAGAAGAGATGTGGAATCCTAATACAAACATATCAGAAGACTGCCTTTATTTAAACATTTGGGTACCACAACATTTAAGAGTTCGACATCATCAAGACAAGCCTCTTACGGAAAGGCCAAAAGTGCCTATTCTAGTTTGGATATACGGAGGAGGCTTTATGAGTGGAACAGCTACACTTGACCTGTATAAAGCAGATATAATGGCTTCATCGAGTGATGTTATAGTAGCGTCAATGCAATATAGAGTTGGTGCATTTGGATTTTTATATTTAAATAAATATTTTTCTCCTGGAAGTGAGGAAGCACCCGGAAATATGGGTCTTTGGGATCAACAAATGGCTATTCGCTGGATAAAAGATAATGCTAAAGCATTTGGAGGCGATCCGGAGTTAATAACACTTTTCGGAGAGTCTGCTGGAGGAAGTAGTGTAAGCTTGCATATGTTGTCCCCGGAAATGAAAGGATTATTCAAACGAGGAATCTTGCAATCTGGAACTTTAAATGCTCCATGGAGTTGGATGACTGGAGAGAGAGCTCAAGATATTGGAAAAGTTTTAGTCGATGATTGTAATTGTAACAGCAGTTTATTAAGTGCGGACCCAAGTTTAGTTATGGATTGTATGCGAGGTGTAGATGCCAAGACGATTTCAGTACAGCAATGGAATTCTTATACTGGTATTTTGGGTTTTCCGTCGGCACCAACTGTGGATGGAATATTTTTACCAAAAGATCCTGATACTTTGATGAAAGAAGGTCACTTCCATAATACAGAAGTACTTCTCGGAAGTAATCAAGACGAAGGTAATATTATAAATTTAATTAGGCATCAAAATATTATGTTCGCAATTATATATTTCACATCATTATTGTGTGTCGCAAATTAGTCTAAGTTTTTATAAACGTTTTGATATGAAGTTTATTTAAATTTAAGTTAATAAGTACTCTTCTTTTTAATTACATTAAAAGAGAATATTTTTCTTACGTAAAAATTCATTAATTTAAAGTGCAGCTCTACTGACGCTAGGTTTGCATTATACTTGAAGGCTGACCGCAAATGTTAGCTTTCCGTATTAAATGTGCTTATATTCAAAACTGAGATGTTTATGTTACCCAAGTTATTGCAAAATCCGAAAGTCTAGCTTAATATTAAAAATTATTTAAAAATGATTATAAAACAATGTTATAAACTAGAAGCTTAAGTGATTCTTTATGAAAAATCTGTTCTTTTATGTAATAAAACGAATAAATAAGTAATCGGGATCCAATAAATTAGACATGTAGCAAGCACTGATAGCGTTATTTAAGATAATAGAAAATCGAAACATTTTACATTGAACGACCTTTCTTGATATTGTACATATCAATATCAGATACAATTCGAGGACGTCTGCTACACCTGTACTAGGTACGCCTGCGCAGTGGTACGTAAACACAGCGATTGTTGGCTGTACTACCAAGTACTACAGACTCGCCCACGCTAAAGCTCTCATCCTCCTACTTTCGCCCCGGTGCTACGCATGCCTCCCCTTCCCACCCTAGGAGTTCTAGAACGGTATTGACTGAGTTTCCTCGTTGGCGCTATGGTTTGCTTTGATAGTTTATCTTATTATTAATACTAAATATTATTTCAATGATAATTCCTTCCAAATATTGCATTTAGGGTAAAAATCCAACATTAAAACAATAATTGTATTGTATTGGTTTAAATAATTATAATTGTGTTCAAATAACATTTCTACAACTCCTGCTGTTATGAATTCATCGTTTTTTACGATATTTAATATATGTATATTTCAAATATTGCCCTGACAATTTGTTATGTGAAATGTTCATTTATTTCCAATCATCATTATAAAGTTAATAGCGATTATTATCACCATCTTTTTCAATATACAGATGAGGTTTTATGTTACTGAAGCGAATTTTAAGAATATTTAACGTGACTTTTATATATAAAATTGAGGAATGTTATCGTTACATTAATGTTTTAAATAAAAAAATTGTTTAACAGTTATTCTAAAAAGAAAACAAAAAATTCGTAGTGACTTCGGATTACTTCATGTAATGGTTGAACACGAACGAATATCCGGTGATACGTCTCCGTCTGCCATTCCTGACAATCAAGCTATTAGAATTTCCGCTTATATCCCATTATTTATTATAGTGTACACGTGCATCAAAATTTGTTCAAAATTATACGTATATATATAATTATACCTATGCAAAATATAGATATTAAAAATAATAGATCATTGAATTCAAGCTGATGTTAAAGAATTTCTAATTCTCTTTTGATAACTTCGTTCACAGTTTTTTTTTTATATAGTTTTTCTTTAATACGATATTCAGTTTCATAACTATATAAATTATTGAAGATTTCTTTGGCGTATTCGTGGTGGTATTGTGTTAGGAATATGTTTCAGAAATATAAGAAATGTAGCTGGTAATACAAGGCTGGAAAGATTTTAATGAACACAGTCGTTAGGCTGTTCCTAGTTTCTTATTTTTTTTACATGTGAAGTTTTTAGGTAACTCAAAAAAGTATTGTATACAAAATACATATATGAAAATAGACCTCCAAATATTCAGTTAAAAAGATAAAAGAAAAATCTTACTTATTTGTCAGGATTTTGATCATTTGTGAGTTACGAATTGAGTAAAGAATAAAATGTAGATTTTATCAAAAATATTTTTCCTTTCATAAATTCAACGCTTAACTTATCTTTAACCTGAAATTCTAGAAATCCATTAAAACAAATAAAAATTTCTATGAAATAGTTTCAACAGTAACCCAAAACGACATTGAACATGCAATGTTGCAGTTTTTTAATATAATTTATATATTTTAATAGAACAGAATATAAGGTACTGAGATCATCATCTGAAGAAATATGAAATTTATTTCTTCAATATCATCTTATTTAAAATACATATCCTCAAAGGATTTTTATTCATTTTACTTTAAATTTAAATACATAAAAATGACATAAAAGGCTTTCAAGTGTTGTTACAAATTCAAAGAATAGTTGTTGATTTTATTCCTAACAAGCCTCGTTAGCAAGTACTCGGATCAACTTACCCAATAAATGCAAGAGTATTTCTCGTTTCATTAATTATACTAAAAGTATTATTATATTGGAAAAGATACTGAAAAATGTTTAGAGATTACAAATAAAAATATACGTATTGATATTAAAAGCAGATTCATTATTGATAATAAATATAAAATTAAATATTTGTAAATATATCATTACATTGCAGGGACATACTTTCTGCTTTACGATTTTCTCGACTACTTCGAAAAAGATGGTCCAAGTTTTCTTCAAAGGGAGAAGTTTTTGGACATAATAGACACAATTTTTAAGGAATTCTCTAAAATTAAAAGAGAAGCTATTGTATTTCAGGTAAGCAAAGTTTTCAATATGATTATTTCATATAAAGATATCTGTATTGTAAGATATTATTTTAATACACCTGGAATCCGATATAAACCATAGAAATGTATGCCTCTAATATCTTTCCTTATAAATTACACGTTGGCTCGTAATAGGTTGCATGTTTCAGTTTAATGTGTTTTTGCTGGCTGCTCCTGACCTAATATAAGTTCCTTCGCAGAATCATTTGATGAGAACTTCCCATTTAAAATTGCTTCTCAAGAAATGTTTATGTCAATTCACTGTATTTTTTTTCATTTTTATATTTTTAGTTACTTCAAATTGATTTCGAGTTTTTCTTAAAAATATGTTACGTTATTGACATATGTTTATATTTAGTACACCGATTGGGAGGAAATCACAGACGGCTATTTGAATCAGAAGATGGTTGCAGACGTCGTAGGGGATTATTTCTTCGTGTGCCCAACAAATTATTTTGCTGAAATTCTCGCTGATTCTGGAGTCGACGTTTACTATTACTACTTCACACACGTAAGTAACAATCTATTCGACCTTATAAATTTGTAAATCTGACCACAATATATTTTATACCTAAGGTTGTATTGATATCCAAGTCCAAGTACACACTAAAAAAACTATGTTTTTTGGATTTACTTCGTTTATTTTCATCTTTACACATTTTTATATCATATGCCCGAGATCACGTTTATTGCAAAGTAATCGAAAGGTTGAGGGAAAAGTAGAATAATAAAAGATGCGAAGTAAACCCAAAGAACATAGTTTGATTTATTATACACTGGGTACTCACCCCGGGTTCGCACAGGTACTTTACAAAAAAAATATAAAATAGCCTATGTTGCCTACAATGCATTGAGTACTTATTCTTATTTATTCAGTTAAATCAAGAGAGCCAAAATTTTATCTTTAACCATTCATCGTTTACCAAATTTTAAGTTTGAAGTAAACAAAACTTTTAATATACTTAATTATATTACAATATTTTTTATATACAACATTAATGATGTAATCATGTAAAAAAGAGAGTGAGCTATGGGGGGGATTTAATATTGAGAATTATTTAACTTATCTTATGATGACCTTCAAATGGTACGTCCGAATTAAATAATTCAAAAAGTAATTTACAGATACTGATGTAGGCTTAAACAAAAAGTATATTATTTTCATAAAACTCACCACCGTGTTTATGTAAATAGCTTACCAATAAACGCTTCATGAAAGCAAAATTTTTAAAAGTTATAAAATAGATATAGTATGTTATCCTTAACAGGTAGACAAATGCTATTGCGGATTTTTTGTTGACCTTTATAAGATACATAATTCTATTATACATTATTTTATTATATCTCAATGGCTTTAGACGGCGTTTTCCTTAAAAGCTCCCAGACGGCTCATTTTTTCCGTACATCTTCAACAGATATCGTTAATATACACACAAATAAATACAAAACTTAACAAATTTTATAACAAAACCTTCCTCAAGAATTCCGCTATCGAGTGGTGGAAACCACTTGATAATCGGTGCAGTAGTTTTTTTCGTTTACCGCGGGCAGGCAGACAGACCCAGCGGGGGACTAAGTTTTATAATATGTATTGATTTGTTGACTGAAAAGCAATATATTAATAAAAAATAATACTTGTAAAGTTCATTTACCCCAAAAAAGTAATTGTGTAGCATGACACCTGTCCACCGATATCAGCTACCGCTAAATTAAGCCGTCAAACTTCGAAAGCTGACGTGACAAGGTTTTTGTACATTATACGTCGAAGATTCTGTCATAATTGTACATGGTTCAAGGGTTTATAAATCAAACGGATTCAAAATATCAAATACACATAATATAAAACTTTGAACGTCACTATACTTGAATAAAATAAATATACGAAGAAATAGAAAACATTTATTTATTCAGCAGCTCTTTAAACTACAAACTGGTATGCGCATACACGTTAATTTGGCTAACGAACCAAATGTGAGGGCTCTTCCAAAGAGGCTGCAAGCGACATTTATTTTTTGGCCTGATAACTCTTGTGAAAGTAAAGGTCGAATTTGAAAAGTTTTCTACTTAGTTTGTATTATATAACTGGAGCGAAATTTCATCTGGAGCTTTAATTATAATAAGGCTTTCGTAACAAAATAAAGAATCCTGTATTTTCTTTAGAAAATTTCTTCAAATGTCAGTATTGAAATGCAGGGGTATTCATTCACATCACGTTATAGCAATATAATTATTATCTGACTTGATCTTTAATGTAAATATATTAAAATGAATAAAAAATAATTATCATACAATAAATAAAAACAAGCTTTAAGTATGATTTCGTTTAGTCTTTAAAAACGGTGGAAAGTAATGAAATATATTAGAAATAAAACTTATTTTTTATATCGTTGTAGAAAAAAAGACCTTGAACTAAGTAGAGAGCGTTAAGGTATCTTTTTTCTTTATAATTATACATTGATATACAGCGTTTGTAAAATTAACTTTTTTCAATGGATTTATTAAAATTATTAAAAAGCTATTAAGTAGTTAATACTTTTAATAAACTAAGTAGTAAAGAAAATTTTGAAAATTATAGTTTTTCTTCTTGACTAACAGCAAAAGATATTCTTGAGGTCGATATAGAAGGAATTACAGATTCATTCAGTTATTTGCATTACTCTAACAATGCTTTAAGATTTCTAGTTTTATTTTAAAACGTGCTAGAAGAATGAAAGTACGTTAGACAGACAATGGTCACTTAGGACAAGTCTCACTCGGTGAGAGCCCTAAAGTGATTTATATGTATTAATTTACTCCAGAAAGGCAAACAACTTTTCGATATTCGCATTTAAAGTAGACCTTGCCCTTTCAATTCAAATAGATGGATGATTTTAAATGGCTAGTCGACTTGTTAACTTTTAAAGCGTTTATTATTAAAGTGTGATGCCTCACGTGTTGCTATCATATGTAGAAGCAAACCACGTGCTTCACAATTTTCGTAAGCTAGTGCGTCACTGCTAGTTCAATAGCCTATTGTCAGCATACATCTTACTGGCATTGGCCATTTGCTTTTTGTTGGTAGATAAAATCTAATTCGTACTCTGATTGATCAATAAGAGGATTCACTCAGTGAACATCTTATTCGTATCCACTTAAATGTGTTTTGTAATCGGAACTCATTTTTAAATTATTATCATTTAAATATTCTGAATATGGAAATTAATAATAAAATTTCCCTGTCACATACTTGAAATAACGCGAGTTTATTTAAATAATACATTTATATAATCTTTATATTACATTTCTTGTCAATCAAAGGCAAAAAAATATTATGCTACCCACATGTGAAGTATTTTGAATTTGAGATCAGAACCATTATTGCATGCAAAAGTATTGGTTGACCGGGCAATCATTTCAATTCACTTCAGTTCTATTTTAGATTCTGTGTTCAGATTTTGCAAACAGTAAAAAGATTAACATTACTTTTAACATTTTTATGGAATAAGATCGCATTTTACCCCACATGAAATGTTATATAATGTAATGAGAGAAACAATTTTGTTTGTGCAGTGAAAGTCTGAAACCCATTTGCTCTAGTGGATAAGTATTGTAAGCTATTGTTAAGAGTGCATGTTGTAAGTTTTCGAGGTGCGTATAAATAATTTTTTATTGTTGTTTGAAACTGTCAGAAACTAAAGCTAAAATAATATATATTTTCACACTCATAACTTCTGTAGCCTGATATTATGTAGTATATATCTATATGAAATATTATTGTTATAAAATTGAAAATAGAATTAATATTTAATTCTATAATTTCTAATTCTCAATATATATCGGATTTAGATTAAATACTTATGGACTAAATGATTGAAGTCGAACTTAAACAGGCAAACATTGCCGCGGGTGTAATTCTCAATAAATTTGATTTATTATATTGTAAGAGTATACAAATCATTCAATTTATTATTCTAATCGGAAAATGAATACTTAAGTATGAAGAATTGGCTGAATATAAATCAAAAGTAAAGCAATGACAGCGATTCTTATCGACACTTCGACAAACAACCAACGTAAACAAAACTCAAAAGTCTAAAAGCAAAAGTAGAAAGTAAATATCGAAGATAACAGAATGTATGGAAATAATATCAAGTTTTTTGTAACAAATAATATATTATTTATATGTAGGTACAAGTATATTTGTTTTTTTTGTTTCAAGTTAAATTTATAAAGTAATTTTTTCTCATTATAAAAGTACTCTCATACACATTCTTGACAGATACTTACAGATTTCTTTATCCTAAAAAGTTGCGACCGGTCGTACAGCCTACTTGATTGTAAGAGCTCATAATCATGAGTCATCAATGCTCACGGGCAATTGCCCAGAGGCATTTGAAATATAAAAGGATATTAAAATGGTTGGTAATAAACTTGTACAAGCTTGAAAGACCTCGCATATACTTATTAAGCAAAAACCTCCGGAGGAAATACACGACACATACATTTTACACTGATTACACCTGGAATGAACTCTAAAAGATCGTCACATAGATAAGGTTTTAGATTTAAAAGCATGTATGTTATACTCGTTCGATGTTAACCTGGTGTGTGTCTCAGATGTTAAAGAAGTCTGTTTAAAATTGCAGTTATATAATATGAAATGCAATTGAAAATCATGTTTTCTAAATGCTAGAACCTGTCTATTGATACGTATTAAATTATTTTTGATTATTTCCGATATTAAATTTGACTGCGAAGTACATAATGAATTTCAACTATCATAATTATTTTATGTGTATATTTTATTTCTAATTTATTTATGAATTGAAAAGTAGTACACAGGAAACGGTGATTTAATTTGAAGAAGACGCCCTCTTAAATAATATGGCAACTTGAGAAAAATTATAATTGGTCATTGAAAATTTCATAAAAGCGGGTTGTTAGTCAGAAAATGTAAAATTAGCTCTTCAAATAAGATGCACCAAAGTAGGTGATTAAACACATACTAATTGGCTTCCTATATGAAGTTTGAATCTGTTTAATTCGTAGTTCGTAGTTATTAACATTTATATAATGAGCTATTTCCGTTTTATTTTTAAATCATGTAAAAAATAACATTTAGTAATTATACTTAAATTTCTTTATTTATTTATTATCCCATTTAGTAAAAAAGTTTACTTACTGATTCCTTTCAAGACATTTAACACTATTTATATATGTGATACGTAGATATATTTATAAATACTATTCTAAGATCTGTGAGTGGGATGTCTGTGTACTTGTTAATATATATTTAGCCTGGAATTTCAGTGTTTTATGGAACAATACCGAGAATAAGTTTCATTTATCTTTTACATCTTCTAAACATAACTTTAAACGTAACGAATATAATTTCTAAGTATTTCAACATTACACATAATTTTGAAAAGTTTTAAATGTCATATATAAGCAAATATAACTCCATAATTCAAATAGTATTTGGATTCTGTCAGACAAAACAACCGTAATAATAAGTAAGATTGTTTTGTTATTGTTTTATAAGCGTGGGTTTTTGCTTACCCTTACTCCCTAATGTGTGGGATGTATTATTATTTTGTCTTAACCGAAATAAACTAGCTGGTGTGTATGGAGCCAAATTTGTATTTATAAACATAGCCCAAACATTATTAAACTTTTGCTTTAAAATCATAGCAATCTGTAATTTGTATTTGTTAATATTACATGGGTCATGGAAAGTAAACTTTTTATTGAAATGATTACAGCGAACCAGTACAAGTCCTTGGGGTGAATGGATGGGAGTGATTCATGGCGATGAAGTGGAATATGTCTTCGGGCATCCCCTGAACATATCTTTACAGTACCATACTCGTGAACGTGACCTAGCTTCTCACATTATGCAATCATTCACCAGATTTGCTTTAACCGGGTAAGAATAAATTACTATACTAATAGCAAATAAAATATTAATTTTTCGCTTCACGTCTTTTAAATTATTTAACTATTTTGTCTATGTATGTAGCTATATATATAAATATAGACGTAATTTAGGTCGTCTAGTTAGAATATATAATAATACATCACTAGAACATAATACATCTTCTTTGGGTTGAAGATTCCATACCTTTGATATTTTTTAAAATATTTATATTTATTTGAATAGGAAGAGCGAAAAAATGTTCCTGACGGTTCCATCAAATAAAGCGTCATTGAATTTTAATGTCGATCCCCTGACCTGCTAGTCAAGCATTACGAGCGGAAATTCTTATCTTATATTATTAAAAACGACTTATTTATGCTAACATGACTCGTTTTATACGATTTAAATTTCTATTCGATTTCAACGTTGACTAGCACGAAATATTTATTTATTGTATAAACGAAAATGACCTAAACTAAAATAAAAAAACCTTAAAATTTTATTAAAATTCGTTTCGACTAAAAATACGATAAATAATAATACAGTTATGTCAAAATGTTTAAAGTATGAAATATTTCCATCCGACAAAAAACATTATGTACAATTACTTAAATTTTAAAGTTGTTTCATAAAAGATTCAAGCAAGGAATTCAACACGTATATAATATTTAACTCGTCATATTGTATGCATAAATATGTATTTTACTGTTGACCTAATTTTATTTCATAACCCACAACGGTTAAATAAGGAACAACGTTTCCTGCTATAGCTTTTCCTCTATCAAGATAGGATAAATAAAGGAAAGAAAATCTTCTTACTTATTAGCCATCTTATTAATATTAAAGAGACAGATTGATTGGATGATTTATTTTATAAATTTCGAGTTTTATTCTAGATTTTTTAAATAGAAATAGATGTTGGAATATCGTCGAAAGTTAAGCCAACTATAATTTTAATCTATACTACAGCACACAATGACTTGTGACTTTAAAAATTACGATGTAATCCAAAATTATGGGCAATAATGTTTTTCGCATTGACAAAGTAAAAATAAATAAAACTTAAATAACTTGTTACTGTTTCATGTACATTAAAATTAGATTTTAGTCAACATAATTTAAACGGTTGTATTTGGAGATTTTACTATAAAAAATATGAGGGTAATACTATGAAGATGACGATGAAAAGATCGATTATATTCGCTTAATATGACTAAAACCGTTAAGTTGCGCCGTGCCCTAGTCTGAAACCCTTTTTAACTATATAAGGAAAACGATAAGGGTCAGGTTACTCTCAATAGACAGGTGGCATATGCCAATACGAAGCTAGTCATCAGTTGCGAACACTACATACCATTAAAGTTTTGATTACAATTTAGAACTTTTTTCTGAAAATTATATTACGTGTCATTATAAAAACTGTGTAAACTAAGCTCCTATTCATTTATTTCCACAAGAAAATGAATATAGCAAGAAACAGAAACTAATTGTTATCATATAAATTTTCAGCAAGCCTCACAAACCTGATGAAAAGTGGCCACTTTACTCTCGGACCGCCCCTCACTATTACACTTACACAGCTGATGGCCCCAGTGGCCCGGCCGGCCCGCGTGGTCCCCGAGCCTCCGCCTGCGCCTTCTGGAATGACTTCCTCAACAAGCTTAATGGTAAATATCCAAATTTTAAGCTACTAGCGTTCCGCCCGCGGCTTCGCCTGCGTCGAGTTCGGTTATATCACGTTTCCAAGAGAACTTTTAAAAATCTGTAATATCTGGGATAAAGCTGTCCTATGTTCTTTCTCAAGGTCAAATCTATCTCTGTACAAAATTTCATTCAAATCAGTTCAGTGGTTTAGGCGTGAATGCGTAACAGACAGACAGATAAAGTTACTTTCACATTTATAATATAATTATTGATCCATTGTTTTTGACACATGGTTATTGAGAATGCAGAAGTATCTCACTTCGATATTCACGCTAAAAGCATATTCATCAGTTTTTATCATTCATATACCAGACTCAATAAAATTAACCGATTAAATCTATACATTTCTTGATAGTCACATATAAGTCCCATAAAATGTCATATTCATTATTCAAGACGAGATATTATTTAAATTGATATGAAATGGTGCATACATTATTATTTAATTATTATCATTCCAGAACTGGAGCACGTGCCATGTGATGGAGCCGTCACTGGACCATATAGCAGCGTCGCTGGCACTACCCTACCCATCGTACTACTAACCACTCTTGCGATTTCTGTAGCACTTTAAATAAATAAAAAATCTCCCGTGATAATGGCCTCGGCGTAGGGCTCTCACTGTGAAATACCTAATATATAATCACATATATCTTGTAATTAAGTTTATGAAAATGGCACTGAAACTTTAAGATACGATTTTTCTCATTATTGACTGGTACAGTTATCAAAGATGGGGTAGACTGTTTCCCACTAGCATCCCTTGTTATTAGTCTGCAATAAACATGTAATACAATTTAATGTGGTAAGGGAACCTTTCCTTGCTTACTTATTTTGTAATCTTTGTCTTTACTTGTAAGGGATCTAGCGGCTGAGATGAAACACACTTAACAAAACGAGGTGTAGATTTTGTGGAGAGCTGAACATTTTCTCTAGTTGTTATTTGTGTTACATCTGAGCTAAATATTAGCTACAATGTTCCTCTACCTAGTAGACATGTAGGTATTTGTATATCGAGTTTAGATTCGGTCAGGTCAACCTAGACCGTACGCGTTAGAATAACTAGACAATGTTTAACATCGGCTTTAACTGTTAAAGCTAAGCTTTTTACATGACATTGAATTTGTCACTATACATATCAATGTGTGCCTCGGCTTTATAGCAAATGTTACATATCTTAATTAGATCGAAATTTTAGAAATTTATATTATATATATGTATATGAGTGTACGTTGTGAGACGAATTTTTAAAGATATATACTATTTAGGATGCTAACAATCAATGTTACCACCACTTCATGATCTTATGAATTCCAAATCTTATGACTTCAAAAAAATATATAACTATTTTGTAAATAATACCTTCTTACAATTAGATCGCGGTAACAGATATAAAATTTTCTATGCATGTATGTGACGGTATATTTAAACCTTAGTGGTATAATAATAAATATAGTAAAAGTAAGTATGATATATAATTCGTGCATTATATAATATTTAGAATAGCACTGCCAGGAAACACATTTCTTTTCATCTTAGTAAACTTTGTACAAAACCTAAAAAAATTTGAAAAAATATGACCAATGAAAATATTGAAAAAAAAAAAAATATAACCGTAGATAATATAATCCTTCGAATTTAACTATCACAGTATCTATTAGTAGAACTTCTAATATTTCAACTCTGCCTAGTACGAGATTGCATTGTCAACACAATATTGGATAGGTTTTAATGAGAAACCTTGTTGGCTGTGCAATACTTGTATTCACAAAATTATCGTTAAAAAGAAATGTAATGGCAGTGATTTATACCTTCCGTCTCAACAACTTATGGATTAACGTAGCATAATAATGCTTTAATTGGAAATCATCTTATGAATTTAAACAAAACGTTATATGTAAATTAACCTTTAGGGATAAATGATGTGCAGTCGTCAATTACTATTTTGGAAAATACACGAATGAAAACCATTCGTTGCTCTAAGGAAAATCACAGAAAATATTCGAAAATGTACGTATAACTTATCTTTATTCCAAGGATCCAATAGTTTTCAATAAAAATAAAGTATGCTTATCATTTAATCAAATAAAAATGCCTCTTTTATATATTATATAATCTTAGTAGTTAATAATTGTGTAACTGTAAGCACGTAGAGAAATTGACTGTACACTTAATAGAATTTGAAAAGAGGTTGTCCTTCATGCATAGTACTGACAAAAGCACCATTTTGCTTTTTTGTCTTATAAAGCACAATTTGTGAAGTATGGGATAGCTTTAATTAGTTAAAATAAGATGTAAGTGGTAAACTATATAGCTTAGTATAATTTTCCAGATGACCGAAATAAAATAAGAACTTCATTCCAATTTATTCCATAATTTAATGTAATAACTTGTATTTTCATTTATTTAATCATAAGTCAATAATGTGTTAATAGGGTTTTAATAGGCCTAAAAATATTCAATCATCTAAATCACTAATACATTGACTTCAATAGATGGAATGAGAGGAATGATTGTCATCTACTTAGTTACATGATCTTTTTTATCTTCGATAGTTTAGTTCTCAAAATTACAGTCATGAAAAATGTAATCAATAGTTTAAAATATATCACGCACTCGTAGATGCAGTTGCTATCATCTTCTAGTGTAATTTTAAAATCTAAGATATATTACGAGCATACAATATATTCTTGTAACACATACTACTTTCAATAGAATTATTATTAAACAACAATTTATTTATTTAATAAAACAGAATATTATAATTTAGTGAATGATAAAAGTTTGATCGGAATTAATACAGTAAATAAATGTGTAGTTCCTTAGAAAAAGTATTGTTTGTTAGATATAAAAAAATATTTAATGTTATTTGTGAATTTAGGCTTACATATATTTTAAGCTGTGGATGTTATGTGTTAGGACAGCTTACTATTTAGTAAGTTTCTATGCGGTTTAAAGTTATAATATTAAAATTAATAGTATTATCAGCTACGGTGCTCTTGCATAGTGTATTTGCCTGTAGCAAAACCTCCTGTCCGGGAATGCATACCGTTTTCGGCAGGCCTGCTATGATTTCTTGAGCGAGCACATTATTACGTATAACTATAACATAAAAAAATATCTTTCTACCAGACCGTCACAACGCCAAATGAATGAAAACTTTGAACTAATGACTCTCTTTGTAAATTCTTCGTTATCTCATAAATATAGATGAATTCATTTATCAAATAGACATTTATTTTAAAAAGAATATTATTTTATTTTTATATAATTCACTATACTTTTTTGAACCTTTTATTGTGTTATCAAATCAATTAGCTAACCATCATAGAAATTTATTTTCTTTGTAATACTTTTCAAATAAAGATTATTTGTAACTTTAAAGAGTACTATTGTTACATATGAGAATTTGTTTATATCGTTACTATTAAATAAATAAAAATACTTATTTCATATATCTTATTAATATTATATATTTTGTTACATAAATAAATATTTAAATAAACTGGTATAAGATTTACACATTATACGTTGAGTGGTAACACATTAATTTTAAATATGTTGCTTTGTTAATAAAAGTCTATAAGTATAATAATATTTTTTGTATAGTTTACATTTTACGTTTTAACTGTGAGACAGATATAAATTTTGTTAGTAAAATAATACCTTAGTTTCCAGATTTTAAACTGTATCATTCTTCGTAATTAGTATAACAAAATTTTATCAAATTTAAGAAAACATAACCATCCCATAAATATATATAAAATAATCTGTTTATGTGAGAATTATATCATTGGAAATACTTTAAGATCTTGTAGATATTGCTTATATTAGGTGCTATCTAACGTATACATACATATATCCATACGCTCTTAAGGTGCATACACATTACACTAGTCTAATAAGCGGTTGATGATTCACAGCTTGAGATTTGGTGTAATGTGCACTCACATTTACAATTACAATGAAATGCAAATGACATTGACAATATCTGTTGATAATTTTGGATTTCAGCCATAAGCTACGACGCTTTTAGTCTTTCATCAATAGTTTTCTGTTTAGTTGTCTTTAGGAAATTCTTTAAACTATACGTGAAATAAGAAATTATAATGATATTTTGTCTGGTGATCTGTATTTTTTTATTATGTTACTTTATCAGTGTATACCCTCAAAATTACTATGAACCAACATTTGAGTATTTATTTTTTGACACTTTTCATCCTGACAAAAGCATAAGCCAAATAAATTAAGTAATTTATCATTTTATATTAATTTTATTTTTCCGTTTTGAAAAGACTTGATTGAAACTTTCTTTTTATGTTATTGGAATAATTGTCTTTACAGATCACTTTACAATGTCCACGATTTATTTATCTGCCAAAACCAAATATTTATTTATTCAAAATAGATATGTAATATTTATAAAATTTGTGTTAAATATCAAATAACATATCTTTATTCGAATAATTATTAAATAAATTTTATTTAAATAATGTCGTTTTATTTGAAACTTTCCTTTATACATAAAGCTTTTATTTCATATCAATAAAGTGATTTGAATGTAGTTAACTTGCTTGAATACTTATGTTAGACTGAAAATGTGTTAAAAATATTAATAAGATTATTTTGTAGCATACAGTTGTTTGTTATTTTAATACCATTTAAACTTTATAAAAGTCGAATGGAAATAAAACTCAAATATCGTTTATTTTTTATTTACATACATATTTATAATTAAAATGAAACAAACATCTTTCATAATTTAAATAATATATTGGCAATTGATACTTTCAATTATCCAAATGACTAGACACAGAAATATCATTTAAAACATTAAAGGTACAATAATACTATACCGCATCTACCTGAAGAGCTCCAATAAATACTTCACTATTGATAATACTGCTCAAATAACTTGATAATTTAACACTACTCCATGAATATCGTAACATCAGAGACAAAGCGACGTCTAGAACGATAGCTTCTTTAAATATCATTCATCCCGCAAATGAGATCAGCATGCTCGATGTTTTCCAGAGGTAGAGCAGAGAAGGCCAGGGTTACAGAATTTTGGTAGCGTCCACTAGAAACCAATCGTACGACGGTGTCCTCACAGGCTATGTACATCGAGCGGCGAGCTGGGAAGAAGAAATACAATTGTATAGTATAAAATCAACCAGGAAAGTGGGTATATAGCTTGAAAATCTGGGATTCTAGCATTTGTGAAAGATATAGAAAAAGTTCCTAAGAACGTAATAAACGAATCATTTCCAATATTGAATAAGTAAAGCTGACTAAACAATTTAATTTATTTATTTAAAGTTATAACTTAAATTCTTTGTAATTCATTATCTGCATTAAAACGTAATTTTGGTTTGGCATCATGGTTTTGACACTAATGTAGGAATTCTAGACAACAATGTCATTTATGAGAATAGCTATTCGACAAACTGGATCGTTTGTTTGATTCTGAGCATTCCGATGTTCAGCGTTCTACAGAGAATGGCGATAAATATGCCAATTCCTTCTGTGATTGATGACGAAAATCATTATTCAAAAAGGAATAACATGTTTTCATGTGTGATTGCCGCTTCTAATAGTATACATAGATTCGATTTTTATACTATATATCAAATATTTACATTTTATGTTTATATTCCTTCACATTAAAACATTAAAAATAACAAAATAAAAGGGAAAAAGTATTATTGTAAAAAGCTATTAGTGTTCTATTAAAATAAAGCTATAAAAAATATTCTCTTAACCTTGTATTTTATTGTCTGTCGTTTTGAGTGCCGCAATAGAGTTTCGGTTAACACAATAACCTGATTGTGAGCTTATGAACTTAAAAGCTTATTCTGAAATCCTTTCGTTGAACGTAAGCTCATACTCTATTTCATATTGCTGATTCCGGGTTAAGATTTCCACCTTGATTAGAACGTTATATTGGATTTAGTTTAGAAAACAAACACCTTGCAACGTGTATTTTAACAAATTAAATTCAAGTCGAAATAAATGAATAAAAATGAAAATAAGTAAATAAACCTTTCACATCTCGTCTCCCTGTGATGACTGAAACGTCGAGAGTATATAGTTTATCAACATAATAAAATACGCGTAGTAATCCAAATAATATTAGTTTCAAACATAAATAAATTTAAAAACGTCATTCGTAAAATAATTATTTTAATAAATTAATATAAATTCTTTAAGTCCAAATTGCTTTTCAGTTTATAGTTGTTGTTTTTAACGCTAGAAAGTCCATTCTGTTTGTATATAAAACTCGATAAGTATTTCCATTAAAAATTATATAATTTCTACTTGGTTGTCATATAACCACGTTTATGCTTCAAATTAAATATATTTTTTATAATAATATCGTTAAATTAGATTTAATAACAAGAAAAAATATTTATAAACCATTTTCCCATTTTTGATGACGGTGTATCGTGAATTTATGATTTAAGTTTCTTATTGTTTAAAAATTAGTAACAATTTCAAATTATGTTTGCTTTTTTTCCCTACAAAATGTTTGAACATCAACAAGTTAAAATAAGTACAAAAGAGTCGATTTGAATTCTTTCTATTCCCTTTGAATTTTCTTTGAAAGAAATGTCAATATTTTATTTCATATTGTTTGTACTTACAAAATATCAAAATGGCAGATCAAAATTATATCTATAAAGAAATCTCTAAGCCAATTCCAAGATGAGCCATCATTTTTATCTTAAAGTGTTTATCGTCCGCTAAAAGCTTAACAATAAGGTTGAGTTGTTAAATGCAATAACGCAAATTGACGGCCAATTTTAGAAAGAAAAGCGGTCATTGGCGTAATTATATTCATATCTTTTATATTCATTTAAGGAAAAAATATTCATTTTTAAAAGTTTTTTTCTAAAAGGAATAGCTATTAAATTGGAAAATCAACTAATAATTTTACGTAAATTTTAATAGATCAAATAAACCAATACATTTAAAAAAATGTATTATTTTAAAAGATAAATTAAATTTCCCGAAAATAATAAAATTACGTCGAAGGAACGCAAAGTCTATTATCGATATTTAATATTGAATTCAGAAACAGCCACAGGAAGACGAGACCACTTTGTGCCACTTACGTTATTAATAATAAATTTTGTATCCCTATTATTCTTTTATATCATAATCCAAAACACTTGTGAGATATATTGAGATTGTAATAATATAAAACCCATCTCGTTATAAGAGTATAAACACTTTATTTATTATCATACATTGTTAAATACACTTTTTATGCTAGTAAGTGAAAAGCTAAATTAGTTTGAAATAGTTCCATAAGATATTTTTGAATACAATTTTATAACTATGTTTGAAATTTCATATAAATCGTTAGTGAAAACGATATTTTAATGACTTCCAATTTCAATTGTGTGTAAAAGGTATTGCTTCAAAACACCCATTGTTAAAAATATTTCGCTTACAAATTACAAGTAAAATTTTGCGCCAATTATCTAAATATGAAATAAATATAAACGTTTTTTAGAAAAATATAGGATTTTTGTACATACATAAAACAATTTAAAAACTTCTTAAGTTCTATTGTTGTTAAGGACAAATGCCTTCAATGTATGGAAAGAAAAGAAAAGTAGTTTACCGAGCTGACAACAGGTTGTTAAAGAGATTGAAGAATGAAAAAAGGGCCCTTGAAATGGTTATAAGTTCAGGCTCTGAGTGGAATTAAATAATGTGCCACTTTATGAGTTGTAGTTTTCTTTTATATAATAAAAGTTTTTGCCCGCGACTTCGTCCGCGTTAATTTCTTCATTGGTAATATATGTATGTATAGCTGACCGGGCGAACTCTGTTCCATCTCAGAGGCCATAAATTACCAGTTATTGGTATTTATTAAGTTTTCGTGTTTCAATCGAACCAAATGCTGTCGGTCGGGATAAAAAGTATCCTATGTCATTTTCCTGGCTCTAAACTACCATACAGGCAATTTTCAGCTAAATCGGTTCAGCCGTTCTTGAGTTATAATTGGAGTAACTAACACGACTTTCTTTTATATATATAGAAATACAAGAAACTATTAAAGAATGTATATAAAACGGGAGAAATAAATATTTAAATATGTACTACTGTTGAATGTATTTATCTAAATTCCAATGTGAATTCTGTCTTCATAAATGAAGAGATGGGGACGATGACATGTACTCACGTTAATAGCTTACCTTCGTTTGAGTCGAGTCCACATAAGCTATCATACACTTCCATTTTGGTGTGGTCGAGCCCACTAGCCCCGCCAATATCTACGTAGTCGTGAAGTCCCCGCTTTGTGCACTAGATAAACACACCGTTTACACATGACTTAATTAGCTCAAACATAAAGTCGTTTTCACGTTGAAGTTTTGTTTAACCCTCTAGTTAGATAACATGTTCATTTGAAACGCTCCGAAGGATACCACACATGACAGTGAGATAATGAGAGCCACATATTCAGAAGCACATCTCAATACAACACTAACAACGCTTTCAGAACTTTCAGTCATGGCTGTTAGTTACATTAACGTAAAATGTGTTTGATTTTCAAATACATACTAACATATAGCTTCTGTTCCTCAAAAATTTATAAATAACAGATTTTATAGAATACGTAGAAGAAACTCAGAAAAAAAACAATTAATGGTAAATATATATGTATGTACTCGTATTATATATATAAAATTCTCATGTAATAATATAAGTTACCAAACTCCTCTGAAACGGTTTGCCCGATTATTATAATGAATTTTTTTATGCATATGCAGTCGGCCTGAGAATCGACTACTATCTATTTTTCACATCCCTAAGTGATAAGGGTTATCTACCCCTAACGTTTATTTATTTTTCGGACAATTTATTTATTGTGTTACAAAGAATATTTGAAAAATACATAAAAACCTAAATTCTGACGCTGTTATCATGTATCCCTATTTGTAAAGTCATTTTAGTAATAAATCATTTTTCACCCCACTTGATACCTAATTAATTATGACTTTATAATTTATTTCAGAGAAACAGCTAATTAAAACCAAGTTGTCATGTGTTTTTTTTGTTGGATTATATTGTTATGTATATAATCGCAATAAAAAAATATTTTTTGACTTTAAAATTATGTTTAAAAGCTCTGTTTTTCATTTAGACTGTCAATATATGTATTCTTACATTTAAGCATAAAAGTTCATGATCATCTTTTGCCACGAATTATACTGTGATTACGCAATACAATATTATGTCTTGATATTTTGTATTGGTGTGCTAAATATGGTTTTTCCAGACTTATTCCTTACAAAAAATATTTTCATATGATGTTCTATAGCACCAAAAAAATCATTGATTGAGATTGAGAGATAATTAATTAATGATAAATATAATTTTGAGGAAAAGATTATAAAAAAAAATGAAAAATTAAGTTTGGTGTTTTGTTATTTTTATATTGCCCCATGGTTTACAGTGCTACTTGCCTCTTTCACTAATTAACCACATCTTAACACACAATAATTTGGTTATATTTTATCTAGACTAGAAATTACCTAGAATAAATTGTATGCCAAAACAGTGTTTGTGAGTTAAGGTAATATATAATCTATATATTTCGTCTTTCTCTTACAGACAAGACACGATAAATAAAGGTTTTTGTCATAAACATCTTTATAACAGTCCAATGACTTACAAAAGCTTACGTATTATTAAATAGTTAACTAGAAAGGATCCGTTGGTTTTGATAAAATATTTTATATTCAGAATATATAAAATTATTTTGTGGTTTCATTATATGATGTTACAGGATTAACGAAAATTTCAGCATTCAGGACAACGGTAAACAAGCTTTGGCCTGAATTGAATAGCGCTTAAGGTATATTGAATGGATAAAATTATTTTTTATACGCTTATAGATTTTTGCCTATGTACACACTTAAATTAAAGGTCAAAGGGTGACATAAAATCATATTATTTTTTTGTTAATACTTAAATTTTTTCTATGTTTTGGGTGAATTTAAAAAAATCCTTCAATATGACATAAAAATATCATTGTTAAATTTACTACAGGTATATGTTTTAAGTGAAGGATATAAGTTTGTAAAATAAGTATTTACACTTACATGATGAATAGTTCCAGTTTCGACTTCAAGGAGGCTATTTCTCTTCACAGTCTGTCCCACATCCAAGTCTAAAACACGGACAGTAGCTGGAGATACTGCCAACACTGAGCAATTCCCTGTCTCGCCATGATTCCGAAGAGTATATACTCCATCAGATCCAAAAAGCATTAAGTTACAAGCTGCCAATAAAGATAATTTTGAAATAAAATTTATATTCCTATTAATTTCAAAATATTTGTGTATAAAAAAAAGAGATTCTAATGTTTTATGATTATTCATGAATAGTAAAAATCACGGCTATTGTCACTTACTGATCCTATTAGATAAATGGAGCGTTAAGAAGATTGGGTCACAATTATTATCAATAAACCTGACATTTTCATCCCATTCATTCATTATTATGGCGTTATGAAAAGCGTAGACGGGTCTTTATTGAGATAAATCTTTTGTACCTTTTCTATTTATTTTACTTATAAAGGAAAAAACTATATTACAAATTACTACTTATTTAAATAAATTGAAATACCGAATTTAATTTTAACAAAATTATTTGGAAAGTGGAAAATGTATGATAATGATTTGGAATACATTTAGTAAGAAGTAAGAGTACCCAAAGTGAGGGTTTAATAAATATTTAAACTCACGTCTTGGATTTCTAATGTGTCGTATTGTAATAGCAAATCCTTTTCCTCGTGCTGGAACTCTATACTGCACTAGGGCAGCGTTCTGTTTGGAGACCAACTTGCGCTGTGGACGCTTGTCACAGGACTCCACAACCCTGTCATCGTCCCAGGCATCAGCTGGCCACACTTGACCATTCAATTCCCACCCGTCTACCCACTAGACAAAAAAATAATAATTATACACTCATGTATATGCATAAATAAAGTCCCGCTTATGGGTCTACATCTTGGTTTTGAGCAAAAATCATCAAACATAGTCATCTGTTTTTCAATTTTGACGCAAATTTTTATTCAATTGTAAGCTAGTAGAAATGTATTTCTTATACGCTAGTAAATAGTGAAAAAGAATTAAATAAAAACCAGTTAGAAACTAGATATATTTAACAAAAGTAGACTAAGGTGATCCTCCAGTTAAATTACGTAATTAAGACACTATCCAGCTAGTTTCCGACCACAAACCCGTCTTAATCCAAAAAAGATTTTCTTCAAAACTGCTTCAACGCTGATATAATTTATAATCGCACTCGAAGTCCCTGATGTATCAGGGACTTCGATTTCTATAGAGATTTTGATTGAAACAACGTTGATGTGGCTTTCTATGTACTAACGGGAGAATCTCTTACTCCATGTCATACAGCATATACAGTCCTGTCCCAGGTTTCTTGAGACCTTCCCTACATCAAATTCATTCAGATCTCCCATCCCCCTGATAAAGCTGTAAAAGCCCCTGAAGATAATACCAATAGTCAAGTCGAAAATAACATATCTAAATAGTTAATCTGCAACACGAAAAATATCTATCTCTCTGATTTTGTATAAAAGTACCTTTAATTAATTTTAATTGTTAATGTCAACATTTTGGATAAAAGTACATTCGACCCCTGTTACAAATTAAGTCGTGATGTTAACACGATTACATAGATAAGATTATATAAGTTAGTATTATTTAACATTGTATCGAATTTAAATATATTAAAACTTCTCCCAAGAAACTTCTCGTGAAGTTATAAGTTAGTGAAAAGTAACTAGATGAATTAAAATAATAATATTATCTTTCCTAGAAAGTTGATGTTATAATCAGATTTACATGAAGCATTATGGATTATGATCTTTCACAATGTTTCTACGGGAGTAATTGTTTTAAAATTATTTAGGACTCAGAATAATCTTAATGAATTTTATTAGGTATATATAAGTATTTCAATAATGTTACTCTTAAATATTGTTATTAAGATTATAACTAGTTTTTTTAATTAATGAATATAAAATATACCAATTTGAAACTTATGAAGCAAAGATTTTATGAATGGAAATTAAAAATTTTGTTTCGTTTCGTTTTTAATTATTTAGTTTGCAAATATAAATATATTAATCACGGTACTTTAAATAATTTTATTTCCAAAACATTTTACTTAAGCTTAGCGAAATGCAAGTAACTATTTGGAGTAGAATACAACTTTGAAACTAATGTGTTGCCGAGTTTTCAGCAGCTTAAATTTTTTATTCCTGAAACTTCTTCGGGACCAATACATGTTTCATAACTACGCCCTTGTTAGAGCTGAAGTTAAGAGTTATTAGCTTCAAGCGGTTCATGCTTTGGAATATTTGATTTGTGAGCAAACATGGTTGAGAAGGGAAAACCTTATTAAATAAATTAAAAACTTTTAATTACGCCGTCTGTAGCCACAGATTACTAACTTTAAATAAATCTCATATATTAAGAATAGAAAAATAGAAAAATTTCTATCGGATGCTTTAAATCATTGAAATTAAAGAGCATCGTTAATGTTCGAAACATAAAAAATAATTAAAAATTACGTTCATAGGCCGGATACGATTATGTCGTGATAATAACAATAAATTCAAAAAAGTAAGTTTCTAATCTTATCAAAAATTATTTAAAAAATTACTTTGAAGTGAAATGGTAATTTTGTTAATTGTAATTAACAGTTATAACTTACGGCAACCAAGCCGCCATTCTCGCATGGCACGTCGAGGTAATTAAAGATGACTTGGATCCGTTTATCTGGATCAGCTATCATGTAAATGCCGCAAACAATCGGTTCATCGGAAGGTGATTTGAAAAACAACTCTCCTTCTTCAGACGTCACCAGGAAGCAATCTGGATAATTAAGAAAAATATTAACCATATAAGATAGCTTGAGATTTGTTACGATAAATTCTAGATGTATGTAGATAAATAACAGTGAGCTCCGAGTATATAGACCAACTCTTCTAATAGGTTTGAATTGGGACAAGAGTAAAGGTTTTTTGGTAGGCGAAATAAAAGGTTTTTGTTATAAAATATTGAACAAGGAAATAGATTTCACTTACCTTCGATAGGGTCAATGATCCTATGCGAGGGGAGAGGATAGCGACGCACTCTGGAGAACCACGACATGGCCTGAGCTGGGCCATGTTGAGCCCTCCAACCCTACAGAATAAAGAATTGCTTAATTTAAACTAAATACTTCAATCCATTATTTTTAATCAGCTCCAGAATATATGCTTGGTACATTTAATACATTTAAAAGGTATTGTCAGCTACTCTTATAAAGAAATGTCTTATAACTTTTGGATAAAAACATTTAAAAAATATTCGTGTCTAATAAGGGTTCCAATTTCTGAGACAAATGAACTGGAATGAATATTAATGGTAACAATAAGTTGCAGTGTCAGAAAACTTAATTAGCTAGCCACATGTTTCACTGACAGGACCACTAGCACATTTATTGAATTTCGGTGCCAAATACAAAACTTTATATGTTTTTTTTTGTTCTCGGCACATTTTACACGGTTTTAGGAAATGTTGTATTTTTAATTGTTTATTTCTTCTACGTTCAATTTAAATTGATTTTCCCCCATCTAACACTGCTCTAAGACCATAATTATTTATTTTTTTATGAAATAAAGGTTCAATGGTTTCTTGTCTTTTTATCTCAGCGTTCTTTTGTCTACGCATGCATAATCACTTCCATCTATTGAGTACTTTGCAGATTTAATCAGGATGCCGAGTGCGCTAAAAATAAAATGCTTGCCTCAAAGCCTATGTATAACTAAAGTTTAGATAACGTTTTTATTTTTAAGTTTTACTAACGATAGGTGTGTGGATTTATTAAATTATATTATACACCTTAAACTTTAAACTAATTTTTTAAATTAATTTATTCTAGAAAACTGAGAATTTATTTTTCCTAAAGACTTTTAAAACAATACAAATAAAATTTTTAAATGTACATAATATGTATCATACTATAAGTGTATTACGTATTGTAATATCGAACTCAATAGTTGTAAGAATTATCTATATTTTGTTATGAAATCAACACTTAAATCTAAAATTTTGTAGTTATACTTGCAGGGTGTTAAAATTGAATATAAAAATACTTGTGAAAGCAGTGAGTCTGCTGTGAATATAGAAGGAAAAGCTACGGACGTGAGGCGCAAGTAAAGTAGATACACAGGAAATGTATTATGTGAAGATAAAATTCTATTATAATAAATCATCACAGTACGTGTCCATTGCTGGGTAAATCACTGAAAGTAAAATGATCCTGCCTTGATAATGGCCTATGGAAACGAACTATATGTTGTTACCGTGGAATTTTTTATTTCAAGCTACTGCATCTCCAATTTCATATATATTTTTAGGAACATTTATGGTTTAAGACATTTACTCCCATTTTATATTTATATTTATTTTAATAAGACATTTTTATCAGTTACATGAGAATTACACTTATTATAAAGACATTTATGAATATACAGTTCGACATCGCACTTGTAACAAAAATGAAATAACTCAGACATTTTTCTATATTAAGTTCTAATTTAACGTATTGTCTTAGTTTTAATTATTTATTATTTAAAATATACTCAGCAAGTTCTTTTTTAAGTACGTTAAATGACTTTACATTTTTTTTATATGTGAGTAGTTTATTATACGGTTTTGCACCTTCAAATGTGGTCATTGTTTTACCGTTATTTGTACGAATATTGGGTAGAAAAAGAAAACTAGCTCGACGTGTGTTACTATTGCCGTATGACACTTGTTTCTTGAACGTAAACATTTAATAAATCAATATTACAAAACAAGTCTAAGTGTTGGTAAAACATTTTATTATCGCCTTGGTTTCAATCTATCCAGAAGGTGAGAGATTGATATTTATTTAAATTGTACTAGTTTATAATATTCATTAAAACAATATAAAACCTAAAATCATGAAAATAATCATGCTTATTGTTACAAAACATCTTTTTTAAATTCAAGTATCTAGTGTAAAATAAAAATCATTTTCAAATTGTAAGACTTAAGTCTTTAACACCAAGGGTAAATTGTACTCTTTGTTAATTATAAACACTATTTAATGTTAATACTTGTACAATTAATTATTACTTCAATAGCCCACATAGGTCTGGGAATTCAATTATGTTTGTACAACATAAATAAGATAAGTAGTGTAGTACTACGTTTTGTCTTGATATACAAATAAATAAAATGTTATCTTGTTATTATGATAATAGGTTTAAAAATAAAACAATATAAACAAAATTTAACCTGCTTATGCAAAAGCATTGATTTAAATTATTTTTTATTATTCTGTCATTTTAGGTTCGAGGGTAACAAAGGAAAAAAAGTTACAAAATGTTTATGTTAAGTACTTTCGAAAAAATTAAAAATTACTATTATAGAACTTCCATTTTACTCTAAAAAAATTTCATTTATCAAACAATGATTTTCAAAGACCTTATAAGGCTAATAAGAATCCACCACAATTAAGTAAATCAAAAACCACAATACCATTTGTGACTAAAATGGTTGCTTAAATAAGAAATAACACAATTAATGAGATTCGCCTTACTTGATATTCGGTATAATCTCATGCAAATTAACACTCAAAGGATTACGTGGGTTTAGCAATCAAGAATGTGTGCTTCTTAATGTTAGAGTGTAAACTTTATCAGAGCCATAAGACATCAAAGGTCTATTAATTGAAGTTTACAAGTGTGGTTAAACATGACAATTAATCTTAAAGTTTATTAAACCTCGATTTCAAATAGTTATGTTATGTATAAAAAAAAACTCCCGCACAAGCACACATAGTCATATCTTTGTTATATATGAAAGTATGTCTTTAGTACTATAATTCTTCATGCTCTTAAGAACATACATAAAAGGGTTATACCTAATTTTCAAAATGTTAGTATAAAATTATCATGGGTTGTTTTAGTTCCTTTTTGCATTTCAAATGTGAGATACCTTTAGAAAGACAGTAATTTAAAGGAGAATTTTATTATGCATTCCTTTTACGGCCAGCCCTTAAGGCGAACAAAGTTAGCTTCAACCAACGATTAATTTATTAATTCACAAGTAGATCCTCCCAAAAATGGCTCAATTTCAGTGTGATCCTTAACGTTTCCTTAGTTAAAATAGATAAATTAACACCAATAGAAAAATAACTATACTATGTAAAAATTATGTGATCAATCATCTAAAAAATATTATTTTACATACAGATTTTATGTACCGATGAACTCTTTTTTTTTAAGTAACAACATAAAATGCTGCTAGCTCTATTTTAACTTTGCATTAAGCCTGATGAAAAAATCTTTACTCTCTTTTTTCATTTTTTTGAGGCTCGTCTATCATTTTCCCTGATTGTGAGCTGAAATGAAGTCGATCTCACTATTGAAGTAATTGCCTATTAATTCTTGCCTCTAACGTAGCCAAATTGTAAGTGGATGGAAACACGCACATACCTACACTTAAAGAAGATACTTACATAAAGCGATAAACTTTAAAACACAAAGTCTTCTAAACGATTTTATAGATTTAACTAAGAAATCTTTATAATTTTGGATAGAAAAACAAAACAGCAATAATTTAGATATAGGTTTTCTTCTTGCTGAATCAACGATATTATTTTTTTTAATGTAAAAGTTTTTTTCAGCTTGGTCCATTTAAATGAGAATAAAAAAAGAAATTATTTCCGCTTTTGGTTAGTTAGCTGATTTAAAAAAATCAATCTATATTTTTCAATACATCCGATTATACAATGGGGAAACTCTTCTTATAGTGGGTAGTTGGATCTTTATGAAGAAATAGGAATTGATGGAACACATATGGGTGTAATCAATAAAATTGTGCTCTTATTCTTCCAATTTTAATACAATATGTCTGACCAACGAACAAACGAAAATGTCGACAGAGTTAAGATGGCTTCCCTTTGATGTCATAAGGAGATAAAGTAGTTTTTTTTTGTTCACATATTGGACATCATGCACATCAAATAAGAAGAGATAATGACCAAGGAGATGTATTGATAGAAATCATTTCTATTATTATAATCTTTATATATTTAATGTTGCACAAAAAAATTAAATTCAAATATTTTATAAATAAATATTTGATATCATAGTATTTATAATGACATCACTTCACATCAATGACTTTTTTCAACAAAAAATCGTATAAAATGGAACTTTTGTACCTATATTATCCCGATTTAGGTAGACTATTGAGACTATATTCTAAATCTCCCTCTATGTTCAATCAGCTTAGGGTTTTTTTTCAGTTAACTTTATTATAAGGCATAAGTAAGGAAGAAAATAAATATTATTAAAATTTTCTAATAAATATCAATTATGGTCGATGTCATAAAGCCTGTTTTTAACAGACAAGATGGCTGATAAAAAATATCTTCGACGTTTTAATTACAACATCAAATGAGAATTATTTTTATAAAAACCATCAAGAAATTCAATGACATAGAAGATCCTATCTATATTTTTAATTATAATTTAAGTTAGGTAAGTTAAAGGGATTCTTGGTGACATTTTTACCTTTAAGATGTTTGTCGAATACTCAATGCATAGTGATGTGGTGTTAATAACTTGTAAAGAAAAGCTTTAATAAAAATGGAAAAAAATTCGTTTCATAGGAAGTGCAATTGAAATCCTGCCAATAAGATTAATTAATATCTGAGAGATGTCCACTACGAAGTACATTGTGTGAAGTAATTTCCAACATAACTAACTACTAAAATATGACACTAGTAATCAGTTTTCTGTAGTATTTTGATATTTGAAGTGTATAAAAATATGTTCTTGTTCAATTTAACTTAGGGTTTAATTTCTTATAACATAGATACATATTAAAGTCTGTTTATATTTCAAAGGCCAAAATAAAATACTTTATAAAATCTGCGGTGAAAGGTCTATTCAAATACACAAGGGTTATTTGCTTTTGTGAGTAAAATTTATGAGAGATGATAAAAGAAATACTTTTAATCCCTTATCAAATTTGTTGTATTTTCGCTTGTTCAATCCTGAAACTTAAATTATATTTATTATTTTTCATCATCTAATTATGCCATATTGATCTCAATAAATAAATATGATATAAATATGCAAATAATATTTGTTTTAAATAGCAAATATATATAGTTATTTTTAGCTTATTACAAAAACTAATTCTACTTTGGTATAACTACAAACCTTCATACAGTTTATCTTTTATTCTTAGGCATTCCTACTTTCTTGAAAAGGCTATTAATTGTTAATTTATATTCAAATTCCTTGTTGATAAGCTATTAACTGTTTCATTTACGGGGCCAATGACTAAAACCATTATTGAGTTGTTGCCAAGTTGTTGGAACATAATTAATTAACATGATGAACACAATTTAATATTTTATCATTCTTCCAGTAAAAATCTTTAAGTCTGTAATTTTTTAATTAATACAAATAGATTAATCGTGTTTTGGTGGTCGTTTGTAAGACGAATTTAAAATCTTACATGTATAAATGTTTGTTTTGTTGTTAAGAGGTGTGTGTGTGTGTCTGTTTGTAATTAGGCAACATTTTATCCCATAAATGTGTACGAAAAAACATTCAAACGCCAAACCCTAAAATAACTTTTGATTTAAAGGAACGTCAAATATTTTAACGCTTGAATCCTATCAGAATTAAATGCTTTGATTTTTAAGAATCGGAAGTAATTAATTCCTTTTATTATTTTATAATAGAACATTTTAATAAAGAAGCTGTTTAGTCTTTGATCTTCTAATAACTGGAAATTCTTTTAAATCTTTTCATATTTATTATTTTTGTACTATTCAATTAAATTCTAGGTTTTGATACCCCATTGCCATTATTCTGTGGACCTACTTTTTTATAAAATTATATGCATATATACTTTATATGAAGCCGGTATGACGTTTCAGTTTTATCTTTCATATTCATTTACGCAAAGTAATAAAATGCGAAGAAAAGATAGCAAATTGTAACGGTTTCTTTATTGATGACACATTCCTGGAAGCCGTTTTTTTGGGGCAAAAGTAACTTAATTTTCTTTTATGTCTCCATCTATTTGGTGTAAAAAATAAATATAACGATTTCGTTTTGAATAAAAAAATCAAACATTTACATAGGATATTAAAACAATTATATAGAAAAATTGAGAACTTTAATCATTTTTATAAAAACAACACAGTATTATTTTTTTAATATAAAAATATATTGTTTTAAACTAGATTGAAATAAAATTCTCGCGTAAATTTTGAATTAATATTTATTTTTTGTATTTATGTTTAATTTTCCTTTTATATATTTTTCTCAAGGAAAATAAACGAAATTATTTCATTAAATCGTTTTATGATTCGACGAATCCTATTCTTTATGACAGAACAATATTTATTATTACGGTATGATGGAAGCAATTTTGCTACGAGTGTTTTGTAATGTTTCAAATAATACGTCATTATTAACAATGTTAAAAGAGGATATTATAAAAATTTGTTTATAAATTAGGTGAGGATTCCAAGCAAAGCAAGCCATCTTTTGTAGCAAAATCAATAAACTGAGATATGTATAGTTACACTTTTAATAATTTTAGCACATAAGTATATCAGAGTTAAATTGAATGAAATATAAAAAAAGAATATTTATATGTGAGTTCGATTCGCCGTGTGTTTGTTTTAAGTAATTTTCTAAAAGGGTAGACAGATTTGGGAGCTTTTTTAAATTGGATTATTAAAATTAGGAGAGTTAAAAAAATACTCAGTTTAATTTTAACACAGAATGGTGGCGCATTAATAATTAAAAATAACAAAACCGGAAAGGTATAAATTATGACGACCAGTAAAAATAAATGTTTAAGCTTCTAGTAATAAATAATTAATTAGTAATAATAATAAGTAATTTATTTTTCAAAATAAAGATTTTTTCAAATAGACTGTATTATGAGTGGAAAATTATGAGACATGAATATATTTTATTATATTTTATATTCGAGGCGTATTCTACTGGTAGCATAACATTTCAATTTAATTTACTAAATTGCATTGAAGTGTTACGTCTTTCGTATAGCACATTGACCTTTTCTCTTTTTCGTAATATCGTCAAGTCCATACTTGCTAGAGCTGAATTTTATGAAGATGTCTTTTTTTCTTGAAAACTGAACTCTTATTTCAATTAAGAGACAAAATATCGACAAAAAGGATTCATTATCATCATCATGTGATTTTTTTTTAACATAAAATGTGCTTGTAATTTTTTAATTTTCTTCGTATCTTAAATGTTTTTATCTTGTTATCCTATTGGATCTATGAAACTATGAATTTTTGTTTAACCATATCTGTTTTTCGATAAGCTCAAACCCTTTAATTTTTTATATTATGTAATAGGAATTATAATGGAATTGTTAATTTTATTTTTTTAAATATACAAAAAGGTAAAATGCATTTTTTTAAATTGTAACAGATAATATGAAACTGCATTAAGACTATAGTTAACTAAGATTTAATTCTAAATTAAACTGTTGCTAACACTACTAAACTGAAATATTATCAATAAAAAAATATAATTCAGAAGTTTTAACTCCAAAACTAGTTGGTTTGTTAAGTAACTTATAGTATTCAGAATCCACACATCCTTATATTATGTATAACACGAGCGAGGTACGTAGCGTACAAATAACTAGCATACGATTAATATATATTTAATTGATATTTCAAAGCTTGCTTAGTGTTTGACAGTTAGTTTTGTAGTAAATAGCAATGCATGAACCAAAAAGTCATTAAGTGAGTCCAATTTTGCATATATTATAAAACTAGAAACGTATTTGTATCAAATATGCATAAAAAATACATTAAATTATATTGCAAATATTATTTCTAAATAAATAAATATGGCTTATATTTCTATAATTGTCACAACTAAATAATCGGATGCAACGTACCTAAGTCTTCTCAAATTTCCCAACTATGTCCTACGTTAATAACTTAAGTGATAAATCTTAAAAACATATTTATGAATGTTATATGATTCTGATTTAAAGTTAATATTTTTTTTATGTTTGACCTCAATACTATTTTCATCCAAATGTATTTCCACTTAAAATACACTTGATAGTTATCAATGACATTGCTATTAGATAATTGATATACGCGTATTATGGCCATAGTAGTTGATGTGTTTCATAGAAATGTGTCCAAGTATCGTCCATTAACTGGAAATTATTGCTAACAATATTTAGAAGCTCTAACAGGAAAAATATGACGTCACACTTTATGAAGTCACATTCAAATTGTGATGAAATGTTTTCAATAGCATTCTATAGGTTTTATATTCTATAAATACGTGTTGAGGGAAAATTGTAGTTTTTATCTCTTGCTTTAAGTTTTTTTCTAGTTCAAACAATAGCAATTAGCAACAGGTTCAAACAAAACGATTTTTTCTACTCAAAGCAATTGTCTTGGGATTCGTACGCTTACATTGCATTAGTTTTACTTTTCATAAAACTTTAAGTATGTTTAAATCAAATTTTAAGATATAAGCAACTTAAAGAATGTAGCTGAATTAAAATGTATAACATAAATTTTTGAAATATAGAAAAAAATCTTAAAAATTCTAAAATTCATGACATCATACGACACACTAATACTTTCAAATATTAATTTGATTTCATGATAATATTTTTCTGTGAACTTCATTATATACTACAAAAAAAAATATCTGTGAATAAATTCAGAGCTTTATATTAAACCTCTTTTCACCTTTTTGGTATATTATTTAACAAATCTGAGCATACAAAACGACATAACGCGATGACAAGTGACGATTAATGAGGCCATGATGGACGTGTTCTATTTAGGGGACTAGAATTATTATAACAATGTTAAAAATATAAAACTATTATAAATTAATTATGTTTTGAAAACTTAAAATTCACATGGAGACGATAAACAAACAGATGAAATTCTTATTTCAATATTGATGTATTTAATTTCCACATAATACATATAAGGAACTCAATACTCAATAGGAGTAGATCTGATTATCATAATGCAAAAAAAAAACTATTTTAGATCTTTTAGAGGGACTTATTTTATACCTCGGAATTAAAAATTAATTGGGATTTGAAGAAACTTTTGAGTAGTTTTTTTAAAGTATTATATATAAACATTTGTATTAGAATATTATTTTATGATTTATCACCATTATTTAAAATAAAATTAACTAATTTTCCCATTTTATTTTGTCCTTAAATTTGTATTATTATACATACTTTGTTAAAACGGCGACGAAATTATATTATATATATTAAAAAAATATTTAACTCGACTCGTCGGTTGAAAAATAATTTTAATTGTTTATTTTGAATATGACCATTGAAAATTGTCAACAAATAAATAAAGTTTAACATAATACCGTAAAAAATGATTACTTACCGGCAGCATGAGCCCGTTAGAACCATTCCACGCAAACACGAATGCAACTACATAGAAAATGAATCTCATATTCATATTGAAGTTTATCGTAATTTTCAAAGTTTTCAGCGAGTAGCGACTCCAACGTCCCGTGAATTGTGAATGAACCGAGTTTCCCTCTGCCTTTATATGTGATGTTCTGCGCAAAGTTACGCGCCGGCTCCTTACTACTGACTCCCGATTACAAACACTATATTCAAAATTAATATTGTTTCAATTCGGACACATCAATACTCTCAGCGGATAGACCACATATTAAATATGATAGCACGAGCGATGCTTTATCAGTTATATTATTTGTAACGCAAACACTTCGCTGTCTTACAAACGATTAATTGAGATACAAGTGGTTGTAGAACAAATATTTATCACGTTTTCATATCAAGATTAAAATACTACGAAAATATTATGTTCGAATTATTTTTACATCATTATAACTATGTTAAAGAGAGAGAGAGTTAAATAATTTATACTTTATACTACTTTTTAGTAGAAAATTAAGTAACTCATTAAAATAAGAATTTGAGTTGTAAAGCTATAACATCTGAATTTATTTTTGAGCTAGATATTCCAATTTAGAATATATTGAAACAAAGTTGATAAGATTGAAAATGTTTCAAGAACAAAAAGGGCCTCTCAACATGTGGCGGCAAAACTTGGTGCGTTTATAAAATAACGAGAGTATTTTGAAATTTATTTAAAATTTTTGTACACATTTATATTGGTTTCGTTTTTGAAACCTCAAAGTTTATAAGGCATTATTGTTTAAGCTTATTACTAATAACAGCAAACACTTATATATAAATTAATATTAATTTTAAAATAAGCCTTTAATATGGAATTCAAATATTTTAATGGTTTAGCTTAACCTTGTATATCGATTCGCTCAATGCTATTTTTTTATCTTAATTGTATAGAGAAGTCGGGATATTTCAATGAAAAAAGTAATCTCGGAAAGTTATTTCATTCAAAAAACATCTTCCATCAATATTTAAAATAGAATCTCTGAATAGACATAGAATATGGGACACTGAACTCTTTTAAAGTGAGATAACGAAGAAGCGTCAGTCGAGCGCTTTTCTTAAAGCCTACTGATAGTCATACATCATGATTTTATGACACTATAGATACTTAATATATGAAAACTGATTCTGTACAGTCTTTAGCATCCATTCATTGCAATTTTATAAATTATGTTATATTTTATTTTTTCATAGTTATGTAAAAGACTTATTTTTAAAGCAGGGAAAGTCATAAACGAGGAAAGGATAAGAGTTAAAGAACAGAATTTAATTTAATACAAGGTATGTGAAGATTATTAAAAAGATATGTTAATACATAGATGAAGACTTCTAAAATTAAGTTGAATATTTATAAAGCCAGACATATTTTAAATATAATGAATTGTGTCTCCTAGAGCGGTCCTGGTATTAATAAAAGCATGTGAAGAGCACTAAGATTTATTAAAGATATATCGTCTCGTGTATGATAATTCATACCTACACTGAACAATATTTTATTTCTATTAAGGTAAAATAAGGATTATCTGAATATCTCGCCAATAAGCGAATATATTTCTTTTGTATAGAGTCTGATTTCGCTTTGCACTGATATTAATTTTATTTTTAGCCTTTCATAAAATGAGATTATCTCTTTCATTTATATTCAGGATACATTTTTGAATGGACTGAATAATTACAAGGTCGATTTGATTTGTTAGTTCAATTTTATAATTTATTTTACATTAGTAATACTAACTAACAGACTGTAAAAGGTCAAAGAGAAACTATAAGTAGGCCTCAGATGGCAACCTTTAGTGGTCGTACTGTAACAGATGTATAAATGAAAACTGTGGTAACATTTAATAGTTTATATTATACGAATATGCATTATTAACTTTTAAATTTATTCAGCTATTCTAATCTTTTAAATAAACTTTACCATAATACTTTATCTATCAAAACAAATCTTCAATGTAAAATCTTTAATTAACTCTGAAACATGTACACGACAACGCATTTAGTAATAAGCACTGCAATATACTTGTAAGGTAACTGTGTTTAATAAAGGACTTGCCAGCTAAGTTCATACTACTATTATGTAAGTTTTCAATACATAACATTAAGCATCTTAATACATAAACGTAATCTTAAGATAAGTATATCGTTTAATTGGAATGTATCTCAATCGGATTTGCTCAATAGGCCATTAGCTGATATCACAAAACTATTTACTAAAAGATATTTCATACAAAGGTAAAATTATGATATAAATGATAAAGATGAAGATAAATTAATATTAATTTCTTAGAATCAAATGTCTACGATTGTTTTATTTTGTATGTACATATATATACTTACAGATATAGATATGTATAATGATGTTGAATTTGTCAGTATATTTATAGGTTGGTCTATAATTTGTGTATAATTTAAAAACGTCATGTTACTACCTATCTAATAAAAAAATATTTAAGTATTATTATTAACATCTTAGGATTGTGTAGAATCTGAAATAATATATTAATTTCATGTATTTAAAAATTAGTATTATTAATGGAATGTTTTTAAAAAAATGTCAAAGTACCTAACAGCAATTTCATAAAAACCATGATATGAATTAATTCTTTTGAAATTCCATCTTTAAATCATGGTAAAGAATACCAGTTTTTTTATATAATTTTGATCAACTACTAATTACTCCCTATATATGTAATAAAAATAAGTATACTAAACTTAACAAAACATTTTTTTTTCATTTAGGATAAAAAATAATAATAATATAAAACAACAGTCACTTTTGCTCTCCAAATGTGAGTTTATACTGTTTTGGATAATTATATTATGTTTGTATATGTACGAAGCAGATATATTTCTAATTTTAAATTGTTATATTGAATTTTCTTATTAAAACATAGCTTTCCAAACTAAACCTGAATCAATCAGGTGTTTCCAATATATAGCCCTGTCCACTACGTCAAATGCACTCACGAACGAATATATGAGCATAGTAGTGGACAAAATCCCTTTTAGTAACTATTTTATACTTTTCATTCAGCCCGGACCATTGTCTACAATGCTTTTTGGGAACATTTTTAATAGACGTTGAAAACAGGATCACAGACTTTTTGTTCAAATGGTTAACATATATGACACTATAACTAACATTTTCCTTTCTTTATTGTCATTACCTTAATTGTATCTTGCCAAATAACCGAAACAAGATGATGCAATAACCTGTTACAAAGCGAATCGTTGTATCTATGTAGTACATGCTATACTGGGATCTTTGTCTTTGCTGTCGATTTTAATAACATAAACTTAATTAAAAAAGTAAAATGTTTTTTATTTATTTTATTCGTTTAATTACTTTTTTTCAGTATTTCCTAAACCGAACTTTTCTAGTTCATCTAGAAAATTCTCCTTAATTACTAAACTTTAATCACTTACCCTTTGTCTTTAAACTTAAAATGCTGCAAGCTCCTTATGAAAAGGAACTATATTATATTCAGTCTCATTACTGAATCATACTGTTTCCGTAAGATGTAAATATATATTCTTTATCATTAAAAAATATGGTTACTAGTATTAACACTAAAAAAATAAGTCGCATAACATGATCTAACAATATGATGCTTAGTAAACCGTAATGTTTTTCTTCTAAACTAGAACAACTTCTCAATGCCATTACAATATTCTGTAGGCAAATTTATATCAGTCATTTGTTATATAATTATCTATTATCAGTTAAAAATATTTAAAGTGCATGAAAATAATGAACAAATAATAAGAATTTAGCACATTTTAAGTGTAAATAGAATTTTTAAACGTTAATAAGCAATTTCGAGGGATTCGTTAATAATTTCAAAATTCACTTGACTTTATCTTTGACCCTCGTCATGAAGTGTTATTTGTTGAATTAGTCAAAACCTATCAATTTATTATAAACCTGACGACTTTATTACCGACCTTACTTGAACTCTTTCAAACATTGGATTAATGTTCCATGTTCTGATTACTTTGAAAAGGAATCTATACCGCAGTTTGAAATGTGGGTTTTATTCAACAAGTTATTTGATATTTCATAAAAGTTCCAAGTAGTATGCCATTAATCATTCTATAGTTACAAGAACTCAACTTTCGGTAAAATATGAGCTGTAACTGAGTATAAATTTTCTTTTACCGTAAATGGTTGCAAAAGCGACACACATTTTTCACTTAATAATGTTTTAAACTTAGAATGCCACCTTATTTCCTAATAACAATTTAAATAAAAAAAATTACATATTTCATTTAAAAAATTTACATTGGTACCAATCTTAACTGTTGAAAAATAAAACAAAGTTTAAGACAAATTGTCCTTTTATACTTGCGATATCTTACATTAAAGCCGATGCTTCAATAGCTCGTTTTAATAACGATAAGGAAATTTCAAAGAGATTTTATAGTTTAAAAAATGCTGATAGCCAAATACATTATGTATTTATTTACTATTTAATGTTTTATTTACAAATATTATACCAATATGTACGGCAATAAATACATCTACGAATAATGTTTTATAGATATCATATGGTGACAATTTTTGAGAAATTTATGATTACTTTGTACAGTAAAAATAGGACGATCTCAATATTTTTTTTACAAATAAACAAAAATACTTTAAATATTGGAAATATACACAATTACTCAATGTAAACAATTATATAAATATGAAAACGATCGAAATACTAATATGGACCTAAAACTAAATAAAGCGGACAAATAAACTACCGGTTTTATTTATTGTAAGTCTTAAAACATCTTATCTTCTGGTTCTAAGATATATAAATATAAACTTATAGCATAACTCATTCGTCTTATTTTACTAAAGAACAGCAAAAATAAAATAACCCTTTTCAGTAAATTTATGCTCATAAAATTCTCATATATAATAAAAACATTCATATAAAAGTTACTTTTTTCATACATTTTCAATCTGCGTTCATATAATTTATATGTAAAATCATTTGTTCTTATTCTTCACAAATAACGAATTGAAGTCATACAATAGCAACTTAAAATACATATATACCATGATGCGCTTTCATTGCTTATTAGCGATATATCCCAGACATCTTTATACTGATAGGATATAAAAAAAACATACCTTGCTAGCAATATTTAGTCGTTTGTGAGAAATAATATTAATACAGGTTTTAGATTAAGAATATTTTAATTAATAAATAACTAACTGATATCATATAATAGTAGTTGAAATTTATATGTACAATGATGAGTTTCGATTACTTATTATTATGTATTGATATTGATAGGATATAAAATAAATAGTATGGCATGTTTTATTAAGTAATTTGAGTAGTTTGTGAGATACATTATAAATGAAGATTTTAAATTCTTCGTTTTATATTATTTTTAAGGAAATATAAATTAACATAAATTCTTTAAAAAAATTAATAATTAATCTTTCAGAGAATTTTGATCTTCGACCTGAATTAAAATGAGTACACAGCAGCGATTGCCAAATCATTAAGAGAAAAATGATGACACCATCATGAATTCGTAATTACAAATTAAACAATACACACATAAATAAATTAGTACAACAATATTACGGTTTTATAAGATCATATATAAATGACCAGTGGTTTTAATTTAGGAATCTATTACAAAAGCTGAAAGGTACATTTTTATATTTACCAACGAAGTAAAGAATACAATAATCAGGTTTTCGGACTGCATTCTGTTATAAAACTGTAAACTTGAGTGTATTAATATAGTTATTAGGTAGTATGACCGAATTATCAGATGTATTGCTAACATCGTCTGAATAAAGAAATCTTTTGAGTTACTTGTAAATTTATAACGAACGATGCATACTAGAGTAGTTGATGCTCTTGGTTACTCCAGAACTTTATGCTTACCTGAGCTTGTTAAGATTTAAATGAAATGTAAAAATCCTCATGTTTATGCTAATAACTAAAAGAAAACTAAAGAAGATTTGACGTCTCGACGCTATGAGAGGTTATTTCAAGATTTTTTATTCGTCTACACTGAACTCTAAAACCACTGAACCTTTACTAAATATATTCTATTTTTTTATTTTTTTTTTTTTTGGCAAACGAGCAGACGGCCCACTTGATGGAGGGTGGTTACCGTAATAATCCGCAAAAGATCAAAATCACAAGAAGCCAACTTATAATGGGTAAGAAGTAAAACGCCGCCATTAAAGGTCATTCAGATTTTCTGTGAGAGGGTGGAATTATTATAGCCCGTGTTTGAGCTAAAAAATTCTATATTTTATTCAATTTAAATATGTAATTACTTATAAGATCTAAAATTAGATGAATTATTATAGTGATTAGTTGCTTAAAACTATCTATATTATAAAAATATATATTATCAATAATAAGGTTTATCTTAAATTATCACTATAAAGTATCGTTTATCAATTTACAGTATATAAAAGTATAGAAAACCCAGTATATAAAACTACAACCCAACAAATACAAATATTGCATTGCCTAATAATTTCGAGACTTTTTACGAGCCGTCATATGTAAATATTTCATTTACTTTACTTTCGAAATATTATTTTTAATATTAATTTTTTTGTTGAATTCTTTCCAAATTTTTATAAAACTGTTGGCTATTTTAAATTTTATCAAAAATAAGGTTTAATATAATTTTAAATAAAATCATGTAAGACTCAAAATGTTTATTTAGAATAATTTTCGTATGTACAATTCATTTGTATAAAATGTTATAATAGTACTTAGAATATATACAAAGTTTTAAGTGTAAAAATCTTTGAAACCGCTCTGAAGTGGATAATAAAATAAAATACATAAAGGCATGTAAAGTGCTGTTAATTGCTTTCAAAATAAAGAGTCCATTATGTGTTATGATTGTCATAAAATTCTACGTAACGCGGTCACAATGGCCGTATTCACTCAAAGGATAGCAAAGACTGCGATTTAGCTTGATTATTTTCTATAATTTTAAAACATTGATAATATTTATTTGAATTTTTGTTGCTATCTATAAATGTATTAGGCAAGCTGGAAAGATATATGTACCATTAACTAGTTAATACAATGTACTGGTTTGGATAAACAAATTTAATAACTAAAAAAGCCAATTATACCATTTATTAACTACACTTATTGAATATCTTAACCATTCTACATCAATACCTGATTAAATTACCTAAAATTACTAAACAGTTATAAAGTAAACTATTAATTTAAAGATTATTAAATAAAGTTACTTTTAATAGATATAATAATATACGGGTGGAGCAGGGAATAAAATCTGAGCAAAATATGTAAATATGCCAGTTATAGTCATAAATAATGACAGAAATAGTTGTCTAAATATGTCTAGGTGAAATGACAGGATCGGAACTTTGAAAATGAATTCCGTTATAGGGTAAATCCACAGCATAATCTGCTTGTACCTCACCAAGCCCATTTAAATGATAAGAAGGGTTATTATCCAATGGTGTGACAGATGGAGGCGTTGTAATATCTTCTTGAACAGGTATCCGCTCCTTGTCCTTGACTTGTTCGGATACATCAAATTTACCAGTTTCTTTTTCATTTTTAATTTGTTTCACGTCTGAGTCTCTTAGCATCCTATCAATTTTTAAATGATCTTCTAAATTGAATGACGGGAATGGTGGTTTCTGGACAGATGACAGTTCACTCAGTCCTCTCTTGTCGTAATGATCGAAAGGATAGGAGTGGTAGAAGCCGTAACTTAACGGACTTGCAGCAATCTGGAACAGAACATCTGTTACCTGGTTATTCCCGTGTAGTATTAGTAATTGAGCAATTTAGCATTTACACGTGTTTATTATATGCAAGTATTAGTTTAAGTAAAGTTATATATAATTGAAGCTATTCTATTTATATCATACCTTCCCTCTTTCATGAAAACCATCAAAAGTGTCAACCTAAAAGAAAATGTTAGTTTTATCGAAGTTAGTACTGTGTGTTTGCTTCATTCGTCGTTATTAATAAGCTTTGTGACGGTACTACTAATGGGTGGATTTTATTACTATTTGGATACGACAAGCCCATTTATAAATATAAACTATATTCATGAAACTAATCTCTCTTCAAGTGTAAATATTCTGTCAGCTGTTAAATAGTTCAATCGCATATTGTCCAATTACTAGATTATTACTTTAAATATTTACCTTTTTTAATCCTTGTATTGAAGCTAAAATGAGAGCCATTTTCGCCAGTAACAAGGCTTTTCCTCCAAGAACGGCTAAAAATTGAAAACCCATTGGTATAATCACCATACCGATGGATACCACTCCAAATATCATCATCGTCATCAAATGATGACGCCTCCTTCCTCGAAATTCCTCTAAAATTTAAAATGTATGTCATTACATCAGACTTTTACATGTAATATCATATTTATCATAAAACTCATATAACGAAACCCACGTAAATAATTGTTATAATTATCGTTGGGAAAATTATTTTCCTAGGGATCTCTATGTATGTATAATTATTACAAAATTAATTTAATGTGATTAAAGACGAATTAGGAAAATGTAAATCCCCGTAATAATATCCTGTACATATATACTTAGATGTTTTATGTTACGTATTTATTTACCTTTGTTTATAAAATTATTATCTAGGTCGAATTTTATGACGTGTGTACGGAAAATTTTTGCCATACGTTGCAACGCTAAGTATCTCCATTCGCCTTCTTCTAATTCTTTTTCAGTCCAAAAGCTAGAAGTTAAAATATTATCAAAAACATCTTTGTTATTATTTAATACATATACCTATATTATTTTCATATTTGTTGTGAGTCAAGTCAGATATTGGGACCAAGTTCTAATTTTGTTATGTTTTTGGAGAATTTATGGACCATGTAAGGTATATGTTATAAAACAACTTTTGGAGTTTTGGTCACAAAATGAAATTATATTCATACATTTTAAACGATACCCACTATTCTACTGCACTTTATGTACAAAATTATGTTAATTATTAGGTAAACTTAACACTGCTTTAATTTTTTTTTGTTTTCTTAATATCTGTACATTAGAATAAGAAATGCATTGATTTAAAAACAACTTCATTTTTTATTCTACTCAAACATAGAAAGAAAACCTAGTTTATTGTCCTACATTACTTATCTCTCTAATTAAAAATACTACATAGATTTGAAACAATGATAGCTACCGCTAGCCTCAATTCGTAACGAAAAATAGCTAGAAAAAGTGGTAACGTTTTACAAAGTAAATTTTGTTTCTTTTATTTCTACTAGATATGTAAAAGTTGTTCTAGTAGTGATTCATTGCCTAGCTTTTCACTGATATAAAATAAAATACAAGTAGTTATGAAACTATATCAATTGCAACACTACATATGTATAGTACAAACAAATTATTTTCGATCATAGTTTTATAATATACATGAAATTGAAATTAAAACTAAACTTTGAATTATTTTGTTTATCAAAAAGGTCAAGTTAACGCTAACAATTTAAGCACTGAAATAAAATTCTGTTACGATCATAGTAATTTGATTATGTTACATCGAATCGCTTATTATAGTATAGGAAACGACATATTTCATTAATATATATTTAAAGATTGACATATTATATTAAAAAAACGTATATACAATATTACATAGGAATAAAAACTAATAAATGATAATAATAAAAAATGGCGATATGTTAAATAAATAATCTTTTGATTGATTCTATTTACGTTAACACTTAAAGTAATTTTAAACAGTTATCATTTTGATCAAAAATATGATTAGTTCAGAAGAAAAAAGAATATAAGAACAATATTAAGTTATGAAAAAATAGTAGTTTGATAAAATCAACTCAACTCTAAGCCAAAATTCTTCCTCCCTATTAGAAAAGTTATTCAGGTTAGTTGTAAGATGGAGTGAATACGCTAAACCTTGGTTTAGTATTCATTTAATAAGCTAAGGTTTGGTTTATCAACACTTTTATTGTTGTGTTACTTGTGTAGATAAATCAAGCTTTAGGTAATTGATATTTGTGATGGTTTGGAAATATAATTATATTTATAGAAGACTCAAACGTTCTAACAAATAAATTAAAAAAGTAAAGTTTACAGATAACAAAAATATCAATTATTGCTAAAAGTGACATGGACATATTTTATTATTTTCTAAATATTATGACACCCTTCATTGAAAGTAGTCAATATTAGGTTAAATATAAAATATATATACATATATTTGAAGGTCTATAGAAATAGAAAATACCTTAAGATGGCAGGCAGCTGCGCAAGGTTATAAATAGTCCACTTTTAACTTTTAATGTTTTAAAATATTTTCCTTTGACGTTGCTCCTTATTTCAACACTCATGCTTCTAAGAGACTTAAGGTTTTACGTGATCGAAGTGTTCTATACTTTTATAATGTAATGTGTGATAGATAGGTTCAAAAAGTGTGATGTCATTTTCTCTTTTACAAAAAATAAAACAAAATCAATTTATCTATAAATTATTATAACCTATTTAATGATACGAATTCTATAAGAGAATTTAAATTTAAAATTATGTAGAATTGTTTAACCATACAATGAAAGTGGAACGCTTACGCAATTATACTTGATACCCGTTTAACACGACGTTGACAAATTACTGCAAGAACGATGACCCTAACATTACAAATCGAAACTAATAATGTGTGGTCATTATTTTTCAATGCAATTATTAAACATATTTTTTAATCAGAAAATTTCTATTTAAATTAAACTCTAACTATTATTCGGAATAATACGCGTAGGAATCCTAATAATATTGGTTACATTTAAATGAATAGTCGCGAAAGGTTTTATATCTCATTAAATTTGTATTTAATGATAAAAATAATTAATGGAAACAGTAACAACATTCTTGTAATATAGTATTTTCAAATGTACTGTAAATTTATGTACCTGGTATTATTTTCCGGTAAAGGATTCCCAGAGGGATCCACTATTTCAAACCGCACAAAGTTGATACCATCTGCAATAGGCACGATGTCCGGGTTCAAGGATCTGTCCAGAGCTCTCAACGTCTTCCTTTTCATACATCTTACAAATTTAGGAAAGTTTTCTTTGTGGTCGATCGTATCTTTGACATCCACCAACTGTAATACACGAAAATAATTAACCTGCTTACCCAAAACTTGAACGATAACAGGATATAATATATAAATTAAGTCAAACACGTAAACATAGAGCAAATACATACGTACATACATTAGTGACGACTCCCTTTTATATTGTTTATTATTCGTGCAGTTGACAGTGTAACGTGAAATGGCTTTTATATTTTATTAATATTTAAATAGGTCATTCCATAAGAATGTACTTTATAATAAAATTATTTTTTTTGTAATCGTTTATCTGCTATTGAAGTTGCAGTTGTATGTACATAAATTTTTTATACCAGAAACTAAGTTATTCACACAATTTATAGAATTATCGAAAAACAATGTGATTATATATTAAATATAAAATTATGGTACGATAAAAGAATTTGCTATATTATATTATATGAGTTTAATTACCTTCCTCGAACAATCTCTCCAAATAATTCTAACAATATCCGATCCCTCGAGCCACATATCCGCAATGAACCTACTTAAATACGATTCCGTGTCACTTATCTGATCGCAGTGACATTCCGATATTAATATCAGAAGCAATATAGTTGTATATTTCATATTCGAGCCTTTCAACGTCACGTAAGTCATTTTCTCTTATATCCTGTGCTTTTGCCACTCTACTTCTCAATCTGTGAATAGTTATTATTCGGTATTAAAATTGCTAGTAGCAATAATAACTACATATATTTTATATAAAAAGATGAAACGATATTCTAATACTAGTGAAATCAGTTATTGGATACAAATAATTTTTCTTTAGAATCATAATTTGAATTTGGTTTAGCTACAATTTCTCAGTTACGTTTAAGATGAAATATAAATGAGAAGTTACCGTAAGAATATTTCTAGGAATAAGATATTGAAACCACGAGGACAGACATACTTCTAACCTGTACTTAAAACATTTTGATGTATTAAAGAAATATTAGTGTGTAAATCAAATAAAAAATACGCAGATTAGATAATATAATAAACTTGTAGCTATAAAGTGAGTTGCTAATCAAAATATATAAATTGATAAGTAACATTGACATTGAAATGAGATGATTTGCGTAATTTGACATTCGAATTCTTTTGTGTTGAGGTGAAAACATAAAAGTATTATTATTTTCTGAAAATATATTAATTTCTTATTGGGCCTTTCTGGGTTTATTTCAAAAATTCAATAATGTAATAAATATATTTTCAAGCATAATCAAAATTAGTTATTTAAAACGTTCAATAAATATATTAAAATAAACTCACATACTTATGATGTTTAAGTATAATTCAAATACGATGTTCTTTCTTTCCTTCCAATTCTCAACACAGAAAGCAAACCAATTCTAGCTATACATTCATTTTATAGTATCCCCTAAGGTTAGCAATTTTATACATGGTTACATACAAAATCATGTTAATAGTTGACGGTCGGTGCAAATCTATTACCGTGACCGTTAAGACCTGTGAACTAATTTCACCTTAATACATGACATTTGTTAAACTCAATACGCATACAAGAACAATCAGGTCAATAATTAGAAATTCCTATTGACATGTAGAAATTATAAGAAACTTTGTTTAACATTTGACTTTGTCAACTTTTACAGTGTAATAAGGATATTCAAAGTAGTTTAAATATACTAGTTTTCCAAAGTAGGATTTTCTTCAAAGATGAACAAATATATTTTTGTTACGTGTTTGTTTTATAGTCGTAAATATCACAATCTCAGTTTTTTTCTCCTAGTATTTTATTCTGCAATGAAATTATATTTATTGAAAGCCGTTAAATGCCATTAAAAATATTTCGAGGCACCAGTGTTTCCTCTTGTGGATATATTCATCTAACAAAAAAAAACATATTTTGTAACGAATTGTTTCACTTTTATCACTTTTAGTAGGACGAGATACATTACATTGAAAAATGAATATAAAAAATGAAATAAAATCATATACATAATATGTATGTACCTTGTTATATATATGATTATTGATTTGCATTATTGCCACATAGCAAAAAAATCGTGATTACTCTTTCAAAGCAACTAAGACATTATTTTTAGAGTCAAATATTTCAATACTGATCCTAGGCATGTTTTTTTGTTTTTAACTTACTTTTACGCAAATCAAGCAATTTCAATCTAATTATTTATACATTCAAACTAAGTTACAGCCTATTTTCATGTAATTTCTTTGTTTTTCCTTATAGATAAAATTCTTCCTTTCAACCGTAATCATATAAACGACGAAAAAGTTTTTTTTACATTTAGAGAAAGATAAATAAGTGATCCGTTTGTAGCTAAAAGGTTTTCCTTTTTATACTATCTGGGATTAATTGAGTTCGGGACTCCCACGCTTTGAACGACAAAGAGTCGACATTCCTTCAACATCAAGATTTAAGAGGATTAGATCTTTTGTTGAATAATTCTTTTATTGTAATCTATCATTGCAAAAGATAATCTTGATACTCTTGAACAAATAACGAAAGCGAACGTTATTTTATATTATTCATACAATTTTGGAACTAATTTATTATCAATGATCTCAATGGTCATTAAATTACAATTTATTTGACACTAAAAGGAATATAAATAAAGGTGATAAATGATTTTACTTTATTTTAATAGATATTATGTTAAAGATACTGAAACTAATTTAAATAGTTTTTTGACTATGTGAAAGGCATAGTATATATACGTATACAAATTTCTGTTATGAAATACAAGTCCCTTTAATATCCGCGCTGTGGGTGGTAAATTGTAGCAACAGTGTCAAGGAGTGGAACGTGAAGAGAAATGGTTATCGTAGATATATTAGTGTTTTTTCTCAAAATTGTACTAAATAAAATAAATTGTTAAGGCACGGTAAACATGTTTTTGTTGCAGACTAATACATATAAAGTGGCTTAATACATATTAGCTTTTATGTAGTTGTATAAATTATTTCAAAATTTCGCGCAAAAACTAACAAAAATAGAAGCTTTTTAAAAGCAACATGGTATTATTTTGTTCCGGAAAACTAAGTAAAAATGGCAGGTCTTTGAAAGAGTTAATATGATACGTTTGATCGTATTTCATTTGATGCAAATTTATTCCGACGAAACAGCTAAATAAGTTTTTTAAAGGCCTTCAAAATATTTAACCTTTTATTGTCACTTTGTCATGCAAACAAAGAATTATTTTTGTTTTATTACAAGTGTGTTATTAAACGGTTTACTTTTAATATTTTAAACTTTTAATACTATAAGCAACAATAACATAGTAACAATATTTAAGTCACTTAGTTACGAGAGATATTTTACTCTATAGGTTAAGAACACATCAATCATACATCATCATTACGTAATACAGTTAATTATTATTATGAACAAAATTTTACTGGTTCTTTTTTTGTAGATTTCAAAATATTTTCAATACATAATAATATATTTTTGAAACAAATACATACGTATATCGTTTTAAAAATTATCAAACAATAAGAAAAAAACAACCGCCTTTAACATTTACAACATTTTATTTGAAGAGTGATTGAACATTAAACTTTTGCAAAAACGTTTCACAAACAAGTCTTGACGGTTAATTTATTGACAAATATAATTTATGTACGTTTTACCAAAAGCCACATTATAAACAACTCTCTATATTAAAAATAATTAAAATATCACGTCTTAATCTTTGGCGCAAGGGCATGGGCCTGCTTCTGCAATCGTGAGGTTTCCACTGAGGGCTATAGCATCTATCTCCACAGCTGCACCTAGTGGCAGCTTTCCCACTTGAAATGTAGCACGAGCTGGACAATCTTTTACAAAAACTGTTGAAAAATAGGTTATTAAGTTTGTTTTAAATACATAAACATAAAAAGAAACTTATATAATTATAAAACACAAAACAAAAACAGCCTGAGAGCGTGACTCTATACTTACATTCTCCATAAATTTCATTGACAGTTTTAAAATCATCTATGTTTCCTAGCAGAATGGTTGTTTTGACTACTGCTTCCAATGAGGATCCACCAGCTTCAAGGACATGTTTTAGGTTGTTCAATGCCTGTCTAGTTTGCCCTTCTGCTCCCCCATTTACTAATTTTGCCGATGTGTCTAATCCTAAGACTCCTGATATGTACAGAGTTTTGTCTACTAAAATTGCTTGACTGAAACAAATCTTCCAAATAAAATATGACAATATTTTTATATCACCAGCTACATTTAAAATATGATTCTTAGAGTTCTAAATACGTTTTTTCAACAACGTAAGCTATTTTTACGACTATTTAAAATTAAAAACTCAAGAATGGAAACAAAAGGCAGTGCATTATAAAAGGGATCTTCGAACATCTTTTACTCTCGATATCTACGTTAAAAAACAGTTTTATATAAAACTAGATATGAAAATATCATAAAGGAACACCTGTAAGGTCCTACTGGTTTATAAATGTGTGGTGATGTCACAATCACTTTAGTAACTTTGCCTGCCGAAGAGCTCATTGTTAAACATTATTTTTTACTACAGCCACGGGAATTTTTCTCAATATTGTCAAACATATACTTTAATAAATTATATATGTCTACATAAAAATAAAATTTACAAAATTCAATTAAACTTCAAATATGGGAAATTCTATCAAATATTTAAAATAACGAATTAAATGTCATATAAGGTTTTATAATTTCTTTCATTTTTACTAAATAGGTTGTCTTAATAACTGAAATGAATAATTAAGTATTTATATCACTACAACATAATTTTGTTAACTATTGTTTTTATATTTCCGATAATCAAACGTTAGCTTTTGCTAACTTTTCAATGTACAAAAAATGATTGTATTTAACAAAATACCCGCTAAAGAGACGTGCATGATTAAGTACATATAAAGTCGTATGCGAAAAGTACAACAATGAAAATAATCAGCATTATTGCAAAAAGCCTGAACAAACAGAATTGCTACCTGAATCTGTGGGAGCAGAACTCAGTAAACGTAGGATACTTGAAGAGACAGTTGGTAATTAAATAAAAAATATGTGTAGTAGTCTGTGAAGTGTTTATGAGTATTTTAAGATACTTTGTTGTAAGTATTGTTTTAAACAGTACATAACAGTTCTTATAACAAATATTTAGAGTTACAGAAATTTGTTTCATTGAAGTGTTAAATATTGTTGTGGACACACTATCTTTCTTTTAAATAATTTTTCACACTTAATTCTAAACTTTTTTCATTGAAAAATACTTAATTCCCTTAAACTATAGGAACATTAGAAATTAGTAGAGTAAATAGGTATATATGTAAATACTTAATTAATTAATTTTGACATGACGTACGTACTTACTTTATATTTATACATTATAGTCATTGAAATAGCAGACAAATGTATAAAAACTCAAGTGTTTTAGCTGTGTCTTAGAAAAAAAAAACAAATCAAGTGAAATAAATTGTTCAAAAAACGACCTTGTTTTGATAATTTTACTAACTTGAAACAAAGTTTTATAACGAATTGAAGTAGCTATTTAGTTTTTGATATAAAACATTTGTATACGCTTGTTAAGTGTAATGGTTCTAGTTGTATGAAGAGAAAATTTAATAATATTTTGTCTTTATGAATGGTTTCATTGAAATAGGCAATATTCATGTGTCATATCATATTATTAGCACTTTATTAGCGATACTCTCATATTACATTCGTTCACATATTTGTTTATACTTATATTTTATTATCGCTGTATAATATAAAATTACATATAAGAAACTGAATTGTAATCCGATCTTTTAATACAGAACTATGTCGGGTTTAAATAATTTAACATTAGGTACTTGGAACATTTAATATTAAATTTTATAAGAATATAAAAATAATAGTTTTTGCTTGTCCCTACTTTATAACAAGAAAAGGAAAATTTAGAATATTAAACATACTGTCTATATACAGAACATGGCTACAAGTACAATGGAAAAGTTAGCTGTAGGGCTCCCGATGGATTTGGCGGAGACAAATAAAGGTGAGACAGTCTAATTCAAATTGGGAAATCTTTTTTAATAACGTTTATTTTGTTCTTTTGTCTGTATATATAAAACTTTTCAGTTCGCAATGGTTTCAAGTGCATGCCTGCTATCCAAAAAGCGCTAGTTATCATCACACTAATTATATTTTCTATCGGTATCTATGTTTTATTTCTGAGGCTTTTAAAAGTTGACGGTGAGTAAAATGAGAAAGTATGTTAGAATTTTTCTTATATAAAAAATAACATTGTTTATTTTTGTAGATAGCATTCATACAACTGAAATCATAGTTGTATCAGAATTAAACGGTACCCAAAATAACTCTTTTTCACAAGACAATGCGGAAGTGATAATTTTGTTTCGATCAAAAAATAAAACAGCCAGTAATCTTCCTTTAGCAAGGACAAAAAGAGAAACCATTACCTTAAATTCTAAAACACAAATTCATACCAAAGATGAAAGAATAAAGTTTAAAGACAGTCAAGTACAAAAGGCAAGAAAAATTATTTCTGAGCATGATGTTTTGTGCAATGAAGCAACACATAAAGATGTTTGTAGAGATCTTATAATGAAACTTAAAACTTTAACAGAAAATAATTTTTCCGATCATAGTGAAAATAAAGAAAGTGAAAAAGTTGAAAATGAAACTAATTCAGATGTTGAGAATAAACTAAAAGACATCACTGATACTTCTACTACTGATATTTCTAAAAAAGTGTCGGTTCCCCTTCAGAGAGCTACAAAAAGTGTCCCATTTGAGAAGGATGGAAGTGTTTATGGACCTTCTAATCAAATGTATGATACAATTCCTCATTTTAACTCTCACGGATTAAACAACCTTCCACTATCGGATTCCTGCCTCATGTCTCGCCTTATGAAACCTAATTTCCACGGCAAGTTACTCACACATTTTTATGTGTAAAATATTTTTTAAGTAGCATCAGTTTGAATTATTTTTTTTTTTATAGTATATACATGACTGGTGAATTACTATCAATATTTAAGGAGAATACTCGGTACATGATTCTCATTCGAATTATGTAAAAAAAATAGGTACTTAATTTTTGACCAAATTTAAGTATAAATAAATAAAGTGTGGACACGTTCCAAGTATTCCAAGTGTGGACGCGTGCGGCGGCGTGCTGATACAACACCACGCCGCCGCACGCGTGTGTGTGTGTGTGTGTGTATACCTAATCTGCAGGGTGTTCACACGATGCGTAATAATACATAACTTTTGGTTAAATTTACTTAGAAGTTTATTAATATTTATGATATATTAATTTTTATTTTGTCATATATATCGTCAAATATCACGTCCTCAAGTATGATTCACCATATATATACATATTTATATCTCGTTATACTCGTATATTTGCCAAAAGCTTTTTTGCTCAATCAAAAATGCTAAATTTTACCTCTTTATTTCTTATATATGTACATATAAATCTCAAAAATTATACTCATACGAATTATTTTCTATTAGGTGGTTATGGAGATATATATTCAGATCATCAACAGCAATATCCGCACTATTCAAGGTACAAAATGAACTTATTACAGCACATCATAAAAATACTTTCATCAGATAATGGTGATTCTTGTTATAATTTTTAATTTCTCGTCCTAGGCCCATGTCAAATTATAAGTCGCATTATGCCCAAACTCATGATTCAGAAGAACATTTGACGAATCCCCACCCTCAAGACATCGGAATTGCTATGAAATTCTTATCACCAAAGTGAGTATCACATTAAAAATGACATATGTACAGGTGTCATTTTAATTGTAAACATGCACTTACTTTCAAATGATTGTTATATGTATTTACTATATTTTAACTAAAATTTGTAAACATATTATTGAGATAAAGGAATTTAATTGTGATAAAGAAACTTAAAATATATGAATTCCAACAATTTTATTTCAAGTAGTACTAAAACGTCTCATATATTTACATAGCAAATATCGTTTCAGATATGACAAGACATCCAAAGACGCTGTTGATACAAATTCAACTTTTAATGAAATAGAATGTCCAGTTGGAACTGTTTCTTGTAATAACGGGGCTTTGTGTATAGATGAACACAAATGGTGCGATGGTAATGTTGAATGTGACGACGTCAGCGATGAATCAAAATGTGACTGTAGATCAAGGGTTGATGATTCTAGAATTTGCGATGGCTATTTTGATTGTCCTTTCGGTGAAGATGAAATGGGATGTAATGGTGTGTATAAAAACTAGTAATAGCATATTAACTAAAAGATATATCAACTAAATGGTATTGAAATCGATTATAGAGAGCCATGAAATATCGGCGAATAATGTGTCTCAAATTAATAAAAATCGATACATATTTGACGAATTAAAATAAAAATATATATTTGTAATATATAATAATAATAATTGAAGAAAGTATAAAATAAAAAAAAATCTAAAAGCCCCTGAACCTTATTAAAATACTGACGATATCGTAGTATAAACATTTAAATGGAAATAAAAGAGACAAAATAACAGAGAATCAATGTTATCATTCGTCCTTTTCTGAAGTTGTTCTTTATTCAAATATTCTTACTCAACGTACCTTATACTGCCAATAGAATTTGGGATGAGTAAATAAACTTCGTTTGTGAATAACAAATAGGCTCCTTTTCTTTCCAGGTTGTAATGACAACACATTCAGTTGTGAAGATCTAAATGTTAACTCAAAGAACACTTGTTTTACCAAGGAGCAACGTTGTGACAACTTTGCGGATTGTCCAAATCAGAAAGACGAAATTGACTGTAGCTTGTTAGCACCGAGCTTACATAAAAAACCCGTAAGAAATTTTTGAACAAATTTTATATTAAAAATTTATATTGTTATCTATAGTGGAATGGATTATTGAAGTAGGAAAAACCAATATAATTTTTGGATAATTTAAGATATTATGTTTAATTTTTTTTCAGTTGTTCGCCATTTCAAATACGGAAGGGTTTCTGCACAGAAATTTTAAAGGGAACTGGTATGCCGTTTGTAGTAATCCCTATATGTGGGCACATGATGTGTGTCGTCGGGAAACAGGGCTTATAATAAGGTAAATTTGTAATATAATTTATTTACACCCCACTAAAAATTTGTGTTATATAAAGAATATGTAAATTATTCTTTTTTTAGGCCTCCCTATATTCAAGTTGTGCAAATAGATCCCTTAATAAAGGTTAAGTATATAAACACAGCGCTGGGAGGATCAATACACACTACAAATACTTGCGGGAACAATTCCGCAGTGTACGTCACGTGTCCTGATTTATTGTGTGGAACCCGAGTGCTATCTTCCTCAGAATGCTTAAGACAAGTTTGTGATAGATATTAAAAATTATTTATAATTTTACTAATAGTAACTTATGTCTCTTAAGCTATAATGTATTATTTTAGACATTAAAATATGTTAATTTATTTGATTTAACGCTTTCAAAGTTTCAAAAACACATTATTTATACATCTGTGGATAGTTTTAAACCTTCTTTATTCTTAGTAAACATTTATAACTCTACTATAGTATTAATGACCATAACGTATTTTTTTACGATTATTTTACCGTAGAACGCTAATATGGAAGACAACCTGTTTGGCCGGAATAAAAGATTCCTTTTCCCAGAATCATACCCTGGGATATATTACGGTGACCGAAAAAAGAGATATACATTAAACAACGCCTGGCAATCTCAGCCATTCCATTATTTGCGAAAAGATTTGCTTAATGATGTAAGGAATAAAAGATCAGACAGTAGAGTAGTGGGAGGAAAACCTAGTCAACCAGCTGCCTGGCCGTGGGTAGTAGCACTTTATAGAGATGGAATGTTCCATTGTGGAGGCGTTATTGTTAACCAAAATTGGATAATGTCTGCAGCACACTGCGTTAACAAGTGAGTAATATTAAAAAAGTTATTTTTATTCACAGTGAAAGAATGAATTCAAATTTAGTTTTATGAAATGATGGATTAAGTATGTTTTAGTTATAGTTTTCTTTAACTTCAAAGTATCGAAAAGTTGAATTTAAATACGTATGTATGTATATTCAAATAACCTGTATATTTTTTTCCACAAACATCACAAAAAAGTGAAACAGGCATTAAAGTTTCCTGAACATCGTAACATACTGTAACTTTTCTGTAAATATTTTCATAGATTTTGGGAACATTACTATGAAGTGCAAGTTGGTATGCTTCGTCGTTTTTCATTCTCACCTCAAGAGCAGAACCACCGTGTTACTCACGTCATAGTGAATCAAAATTACAATCAGGAAGATATGAAGAATGACTTATCCTTATTGAGAGTGAAGCCGGGCATTCAGTTTAGTCGCTGGGTACGACCTATTTGCTTACCTGGACCTGAAGTGGCTGGTACTGACTGGATGTGGGGACCTCCAGCGGGTACAACTTGTACAGCTGTAGGCTGGGGAGCAACTGTAGAACGTGGCCCGGATCGTAAGAATTTGAATAAATTTAATAGATAACAACATGATTATTTTCGTTCTAATTACTATTTATCTACATTTTATAGCGGATCATATGCGTGAGGTAGAAGTTCCTGTATGGGAGCATTGTACACATGAAGAAGATCAAAGTGGTAGTGAAATGTGTGCAGGACTTGCTGAGGGTGGAAGAGATTCATGTCAAGTATGAAAATAATTACCTAATATAGTTGTTTATACCAAATGGACGTACTTTTCTGTTCTATTTTTAAGTACATTAAAAAACAGGGAGATAGCGGAGGACCACTTCTATGCAATAATCCTGCCAATCCGCAGCAATGGTATGTAGCGGGTATTGTGAGCCATGGCGATGGTTGTGCACGAAAAGGTGAACCAGGAGTTTATACAAGAGTCAGTGTTTTTGTTTCTTGGATACGATACCACATCGGTTAGTAAAATGAGTAGTTTTATTAATACAATTTTAATATTTTGAGTACAAGATTTTTATAAATTCGTTATTTTTTTTGCAGCATCAAAAGCTTTACCAATAATTCAGCCTAAACAAGAATGTCCTGGATTTAGATGTGATTCTGGAATTTCAAAGTGTTTGCCTAAAAAGAGGATGTGTGATAAAATAATAGATTGTTTAGATGGTGAAGATGAACTAAATTGCGAAATAGTGAGATCAGCAGATACTTTTCCAAATAATTTATTTGTCAATCCATTTGCTAAAGTCGCAAATATAACAAACAACCAAGAAACTAGCAATATAAATGATAATCACAAAAATAACAGTCTTCCGAGTAATAATACCAACGTGAATACGACATTAAACACATCTAATTTAAATGAATTTGAAACTACAACACCTTTAACAAATAAAGATATAATAACGGATACAAAAGTATATGACCAATCTACTTTGTTTGTAACCACAGAGAAATCTATTATCGAGAATGGTGATAAAGTTACAAATATTTTACCACTCCCAACTGAATTAAGTATAGAACAAAGTTCCCTTTATGATGATATAAAGCACGCTTCAACAATAGAATTGCTACGTCCAGATTATTCAGGAGAACCCATAGATGACCTAGATCCAAATGAATCAATTACATCAGATTCTATTATTACTACGACTACAAGTAAATATTTTGATGACATAAATATAAACATACAATCTAGATATGCAATAGAGTCTATGTCCTCCATTTTAGATAACCCTCAAAAAGAAGAGAAAATATTTACAAACTTCAAGGTGACAGAGAAAACTTCAACAACACTATCACCTGGCATTTCAAGATTAGATTCAGATATTGACTCTACAACAGTTATTATAGAATCAAGTGATTTTAATATATCCGACGGAAATAATCTCAATAATAATAAATTCAATAATACTATTGACCAAAAGGATAACTTAAACTTAACAGATAATAAATATAATGAGACTATTCCATTGATAAAGGATTATGTACCAACTTACAATTTAAGCAATAATTTTAATGAAAGTGTGGCTGAACCAGATATAGACGACCAATTAAATTCAGAAACGAATCATGAACAAGAATATATACCATCTGTTAGGCCGATGGATGCTACTAACACTAATAGCGACAAAGAAGAAGACACGTTAATAACTGAACTCCAATCAGCAAAAAAGAAAAAATATATACCAACGCCTATTGAATTCCAATGCAGGCGGTAAGTCATTACAATAAAACAAGAAAGATATTATTTATGTTTACATACGTTTTATACCATGCGAGGACTTTAATTTTGTTACCAATTAAACCGTTTACGCCTTTATTAAATAAAATAATAAGTCTGGATTTTCTTTTCAACTCTCATAATAAAATTATCTAATCAATATCAAAGTATTTTTAAATATTTCATTTTAAGTATTAGAAATATCATAAATCTTAAAAAAATGCCTGGTAACATCTTATTATCAGCTTTTATTGTTATTTTCAAAATACTTACTATGAACATATTCAATTTTATTTTTAAATGTTTTAAATAAATTTACTTTATTGACAAAAAAAGTTGAATAGAATACAGTTCTCTTGTTATTATTTCATTAAGTACATTAACATTATTTCAGCATTTATCAAATCGTCCCCCACTCTGCTCGCTGTGATCATAAAGCAGACTGTGAAGATGGTTCAGATGAACAGGATTGTACGTGTGTTGACTACCTAACAACTTTTGATAATAGACTCTTATGTGATGGACACTTCGATTGTGCCGATGGACAGGACGAAGTGAATTGTTGTAAGTGTATGATATAATAATTCTATGTGAATTATTGAATAAAAATAAAATAGGTTTTTTTTCTACTATAATTGTGTTAAAGTTAGAAATGGTCATAAAATAACTAGTACGATACCTATTATCCTTGTCATCTTGATAAATCAAATAAATAAATTAATCAAGTTCTTGATTTAAATAAATTTAAATTGTTAGAGGTAGAACAAGGTTTATAGTTTAATGATAGTTTATGTAAATTTGTTTCTATATTGCTAAAGTTCTCAAAAAAATTGTCGTCAGACAAGCTGTAAATAACATCTTATAATAAAACTTTTTAAAAATACACAAAGTTAACTTAGATTATTAAAAAAAAACCAAATATTCTTTTTTTTTATTAAAGATACATGTGAAGAGGATAAGTTTCTATGTAAACTAAGTGAAATATGTCTCGATTCAAAGTACGTTTGTGACGGAATACCACAATGTCCCTCAGGCGAAGACGAATTAGATTGCTGTAAGTAGAAATATTGATGTACCTGGCTAAACATAGATTTAATAAAGCTGAATTCATGGTTGTGTATATGGTTTAGATTCCTTGATAGATAGAGGACTAAACTTCTTTTTTGTATAATAATAAAAAGGCATACAAATATTTTACCGATAATTATAAGTGAGCAAAGTCTTCTGGAAGAACATGAGAAGGTTAAAGTTTAAAATAACAATATTTTTTAAACAGTTGCTCTTACAAACGGCAATCATATTGAAAGTGATATACATGGCAGACCAGAGGCAAAGTTGGAGGGTTACTTAACTAAGAAGTATCAAAACAGCTGGCATATAGTTTGTGAAGACAAAATGTCGGTTCCAGAACAAGAAGAAGCTGCTACACGTATATGCCGCTATTTGGGATTTAGGTAAAAGTATAGACTTAAATTTAAATTCAAGAACCTTTTATTTCTTATTACAACTTTAAGGCGAAAACCGCCCTTTCTTCAAAGCAATTTCAACTTTTGATTGCAATACAAATCAATAAAAAAAAATGTGGTGTATACAAAAAATAAAAAATAAACAATATCTAACTTAACGCGAATCTCATTTAATGTTTTCTATATTTTATTTTGCAGCTCAGCAAATAAATATGTCATCAAATATATCAATGTGAAAGAAAAACTTCATCATATGAAAAATAAAAGGTCAATACGAAATATCGATTTAAGGATGCCCGTTCACTTCAGCTATAGAACAGTTACTGACAACAACGATTCAACACAAGTAGTCATAAAAGAGCCTCAAATAATAAAAGAGGAATGTGTTCCTAATATAACGAAAACCTGCATGTCGCTTTATGTTTTTTGCGACCATTCCTTATACACTCATTTTGATAGCATTGATGAAGATAACGTCAATAATGAAATAAAGAAAATGACTGACCAAATGTGGCCATGGATAGCGAAATTATATGTTGACGGAAAATATAAATGCACTGGAGTTTTAGTTGATTTGTCTTGGGTTCTAGTAAATCACGTGTGCCTGCCAAATTCTGAGTACGTTATTATTTTAATGTGTTTTTTTGCTTTTTTATGCTTTTTATGCGCGGAGTAAGTTCACCATTCAACTCAATTTAATATTTTAAAAAAAATTATTTGTAGTATTAAAAAAAATATATATTTTGAAATTTTATCAACATATATTTTATAAGGAAATAGAAGATTGTTACTTGTTTTGTCAATCTCGATCTACATTTACTACAAATTGATATCCCCTCAAAGAAAGTAATATGGGAGTGAAATAATTCCGAAAACAGCTGAACATTACTGAATATATATGCCAAACAAGTTTCACAATTATTATAATTACAAGTAAAATCAGTGTTACACTAAAATTAATAAACAATAATTTTAAACCACAGGCTCAGTTATCACTATGTGACAGTTATACTTGGTTCTCACAAAACTCTTAAATCCACTCTTGGACCTTATGAGCAAGTGTATCGAGTTGATGCAAAGAAACATTTATATCAAAGGAAAATTATGCTTCTGCATCTCAATGAACGCGCTGTATACACGTCTATGGTGAAGCCGATGGTAGTAACATCTCTGTAAGTTTATACTTAACAAATTATTTTTAGGTAATATGAATATATATTGTCTAATATTATAATGTTCTTAGATATTCAGATGATGCTGATAATACGATATGCGTAGCAGTTGGTCAGGATAGAAATAATAAAATGTCAAGCGTTTTCCTTAAAGAAACTGATAAATGCAATTCCCATAATCGATGTTTCGACCTTTTAGTCAATTCTAGCTATTGTAACGTAAGTATAAATATTAGTATACTCTTTAAGGTATAATTACTTGCTTTTTATTAATTACTTTCTTTCTTTCCTATTTTACGTTCAGTTTGAAGATGCAAAATGGGCCGGCATAATAAGTTGTCACAACAAACGTGGATGGTATCCCGCAGCGTCGTTTGTAAAAGACATGGGAATATGTAAAAATACTGATGGCATAAATGGAACGGACATTGGAAATTTAAAAATTGATATAAAATATTTCGAAGGTAAAACAATTTTAAACTCTTAACTAAATAAATTATTATTCTATTTTGGTTGTTTGTAATGGACTTTGTTTATACATTAGCTGTACGTCCCAGCATATTTTTGTTATATAGGTATTTTCTATGGAATCAAAATTACTTCTGCATCACTATCAGCGGATAATTAATCCCTACGTAATTAAATAATACACGTTGACATTGCTAAATATTACTCATGAATTTTATTTCGTATGTCTTTTTACTCTTAATTTTCCTAAATCGTATGTTATTTATTAATTTACTTTTTTTTTTTATATTAGGATAATTTAAAAAAGGCACAATTTACTTTCTTATGTTATGAAACTATTCTTATAAACAGAACTAGTTTTACCTAACATAATCTTTGGTAACATTATCTAAATCTGGTCTACAAATGACGAAACTTAAATAAATAAAAATCAGTTGAAACAGCCTTTTATATTTATAGATAAACCATTACCTCTTTCCGATGAGCATTTGTTTACAAATTGCGAAGGAGTCCGGTGTCAAAGAGGGCATTGTGTGGGGTTACAGGACGTATGTAATGGGGTCACGAATTGTGAAGATTCTTCGGATGAATCTAAAGAAGCATGTAGGAAAAAACATGATGTTTGTACACAGAATCCATTTTATCGTGGATGTGGTAAGTTTTTTAACCTTTTAGATTAGAAAGTTTATTAGGAGTTCGATTTTAAAATTATATATTGTCTTGACAAAATAATTTATTTTCAGAATGTCCGGTTGGTCAATTAAAATGTCATAACGGTCAATGTGTACCCAAAGAATTGTTCAAGGACGGCCGTAATGATTGCGGAGATGGCACCGATGAGCCTGGTCAAACATTATGTTCAGATTACTTGAGGAGGGTTATGCCTTCACGACTCTGTGACGGCATTCTCCACTGTCATGATAGGAGTGATGAAGATCCCACATTCTGCAAATGTTTCGCAAAAAAAGGCGTACAAGTAAGCGATAAATGATTTTCTTTTTTACTACCTACATCATAGACGATTGAAGTACATAAAATAAAGATCATTTATATATTTTCTGTTCATACTTTTAAAGCTTTATTATTTACCTCTACAATTACTTAGAAACGACAGTTTTGATGATATACATAATTGCTCATTGTATTTCTATAGGTGCACAGGAATGTCGATTGACGAGGACTACTGTGTAGCAACTGATATGGTTTGTGACGGTGTACTTGATTGTCCAAATGGAGATGATGAGCGAACCTGCATAGGTTTGAGCTCGGCTCAGGGAACACCGTAAGAATTTTTCACCATATTTGTACATTTAGAACCAAAAAATACCTATTATTATTATTAATAATCACTCATTATTAATGAATAAATAAAGGATAATCTTCTAAATATTTTAAGAATAGCAGATTTTTTTTTGTTTCATAGATGGATTTCATATTCCGTATCTCATTATTTTAAGTATATAGAAATGTTTATAGTATTAAGCACGAACCATATTTTATTCTATCTTTTTAATATAACATATATTGCAGGCACGGCATTGGTGAAGTGATAATTCGCTCCCACGGGGTGTGGTATTCGAAATGCTATACTAAACAAAACCATACGAAATCAGAACTAGAAGCTATTTGTAGAGAATTAGGTTTCATTGGTGGGCACGCCAAACAACTGCCGGATCCTAAAGGAACACCGAATCCCTATAACAATATTGTTATCGACATGTTTTCTGATGTAATGCTTAATAATAATACAATAATAAAATTAAGAAATACACCGAACCCTATCGCCCGTGCGGTGACTCAAGATATAAAAGAGTGTTATCCAGTTTTCATAGAATGCCTCTAGAATTTGACATGTACTTTAATTATGCTCAATAAAATTAACTTTAATAATAAATTTCTTTTTTTTTATCTTATTACTTACCCGCCATCTATGTTTGATACCCCAAACTGACTCCATTGTCTATTGTGAAATATTTTGTTTTGTTTCTCAAAGCATCAGTAGATGTCACTTAATGAAGTTAATTTTATATCATTGTTTGATAGAACAGAAGTTAGTAACTTCATAAATGTTTTGTAATAATAATATCGCTATATAAAATTACTAAGCTTAATGTATAAAATAAACATTTTATTCCTATAAAAACACTAATGACTATTGACTAACCAATTTAAAGGAGAACTTATTACATACTAATTGAGTTTAAAACTTAATTATTACAATTAATTTTCTTTTTATGAAAAGAAAAATATTGAGATCTAAAAAGTTTCCTTTTTCTACTGGTAATGAAGAATATTATTGAACTAAAATATTATGTGCTGATTTATAATGAGTACATATTGCTTATAGGTTTTTGTTCACTAATTATATGTATTTAAACATGAAACTATATCTTTTATCCTTATAATAACGAATACTGCAAATATAAAAGAGGAATTAAAACAAAACCACTATCAGGACTTTAGAGTACAGTTTATAGGCTAAAGTAGAGTCACCCAGTGAAACTTGAAATTACCACTTACTAAAAATATCTGTTCCTATTTTAATTTACACATAATTTTTCACTAATTTAAAATACATATTATTCTAATCTGTTAACATTATTGTACATAAAATATCACATAGCTGGAAGGAAGTCATGATGGTGGTGTAAATTAAAAGATGTGCTTAAAGATTATCTCTGACATTAATAACACATAATGAACTATAAGTATCGCAGTAACATTTAAAAAGCACGACTTTATTGTAACAGAAGAATTAAACCACGCACCCAGGTAACAAAAACATTAATCTTCATATGATAAAGTTCAAGAACATTTTAGATATTTATTTTATTACTATATTATAGAAATAAAAGGAATAAGAAGAGATAAGAACAATTTGATCCAACGGAATGAAGTCACATATAAGATCCAAGGAGTTATCTAATATACCCATATATAGTTACATATCAAATCGTAATATACTTATATTATATGTTGTTCCAAATCCAGTTCGGGGGGTCAAGAATGTCACATTTTTGTATCTGTTAATGTGCATAAGGATAAAATATATAATGATTCATACATTCTATTTAACATTAGAAAAGAATTATGCCACCAAAATGGAATGACGAATTTACATAATATATGTCTTTAGATAAAAACTCATATTAAAACTGGTTCGATGAAACCTGATTGAGAGTTTATTATATAAATTAAATATATAAGATATATAAATTTAATATTTTCCACAAAAAACTCGCTAAGAATTCATTGATTTTACCCTTTAGGGCCTCTGTTTTTTGAATTAAATTACTTTTACAATATATGTTGCTCAGATTGAAAATCTTATTAGTATATATGCAAAATAACTACAATAATGTAATATGAACGTAAAAAACTTGATTTATAGTTAAAATTAAGGTAAACAGAATGATTTTGTAATTCTTTTCTAAATCCAGAGAAAATATACATAAATATTAATATATATTTCCTAGACCTGTTTTAGCTTAATTAAAAACTGTATAAATATTTATCTATTACAGCCTATGTTATAAATAAATTATTTATTTTCAATTTTTCTAAAAAAAAACTGTTTACAAAAGTTGCGTAAACGAGCTACACCCATGACTTTTTTGAAAATTTAAGATTTATAATATAAGTTGGTTTTCCGATAAGGCTAACATGGTAAAACAACTGTTCTCGTGATTTATAAATGTAAGATAGATATTAATATTTATATTATAAACATTCAACATCGCCTAAAATGAAATCATAAATTCTACAGAAACTTATGCCTATTCTGAATAAATATTCAGACGCCATTGAGTCTGCTCCGAATACTGTTAAAATGAGAATATTAATAAAAAGACGTTATGCAAATAACAGAAACACATGGCGACAGTTCATAATGTTTAGAGAAAAAAGTCCAGACAATAAATATAAATTTTTCATGTAGCTATTATATTATCATTCAATAAAGTCATATAAATCGAGTAAGCCCATTGTATGATAATATCGGTGATAAATCACAATTTTAATTCTTTTCTTTTAATTTGCGCCGCCAAGTATATTTTAAAGTTAGCGGTGGACAGGACAATTCTGACGGCTTCTGTATTTACTGCCTTTATGCAGGCAAAGTTTAAATATTTGAATGATCTTTTGAATGAGATATGTTGTATCAATGAAACATGCGATGAACAGTTAGGTACTTGTGAATTTTTAACTAACTGTAAATAAGGACGGTGTTATCAAGATGAGGATAAAAATTATGATACTGATATTATTCCGCATAAATAATTCAGTATGAAATCATTCCAGTTTTAATTAAATATGTTATATTTTTTCTTCGATTTTATTGTCCTTATTTATAACATCTAAGAGGTGCGGTCATAAACACAGGAAACATATTTTAAGGTGTTAAACATAAAAGACACATTTGTATCAAAAAAAGAATATTCAATAAAATTAACGACTTTACAAACTAATGGATTGTTTATAGCTTCGTTGGTAGATACGAACAGATAAGCTAATAGAATTTTCTTCTGAAACACTTAAACGCTTATTTTCACTAATGAAATGTATTATAATATTTGTAGATAAGAGACATATGTATTTAAGTTTAAAAACGAACGCACTAATTATACCATTAATTATAACCAATGATAAATAATCTGAAAATGGAAAATGGTATTCACAGAGCATGTAAATATAATATAAATTGGCGATATAATTACAGACAATTAACAATTTTACCTTTGAGGAAACGGCAAATTTTAATGTTAACCGAACTCAAAGAGTGATAAACGTATAGGTTGACTTTTTGTCGGCTAGGTCCTTCGTGCCAAGGTTCACTGAGAATCGGCGGCTTTTTTAAACATTCACGTAGCCAACTATTTTTTTGATGGTTATCATCAAAGATAACCTTTAATTACTGCGTAGTTTGTGCCGCCCTGACCTTAACTAAAAATAATATTGTGTAGAAGTATTAAAAGCTCAGATTTAGTTATCAATACGCTTATTAAAAAGACGGAAGTAAAATAATACTGAAGTTAACTTGAAATCAACTTCGCATGCGATAAACAGCTTGAAGTATAATGTTAAATGTTGATAAAGAAAAGATTCGCAATAAATATAATTTATTATGCATAATTACATGCTCAGTTTATGACAGCTCAATAGCAAAGGAATAGATACGAAGCAGCATTTTATTACTGTCTTACTTGATGTGACAATAACATCTTACTGTGTTTATGAGTCGTGCTAAAAAGTACATATATAGTTAGTCGATTGTAACAAAATTTAAATTGTTTTTATTTCTCAATTGATACAGAAGTAGATGGTGAAAAAAAAATTTAGTTATATATTTTTAAATTATAATTGCTGATTCTCGTAACCTCGACCGCGCTACACAGATGTTGTGGTAAAATTTTAAATCTATGTCTTAAGTCATTATTTCAATTTTCATTAAGTATTATGATTTTTTGTTCCATTTAAACACAAAATTTTCCGCTTCTTCGTCAATCCATAAGTAAATACTTTTCCATTTATTGATACTAGCATTTGTCGACTGCTGCCTCCATGTTAATTCCATTTATAGTTTATAAAATATTCGTAATTACAGAAGCTTTTTAATACCTTCATATAAAACTTTGAAATTTATAAATTATATATTTAAAAAAAGGGATAAAATTTTATTCATTAATCGACTCACACTTAATATTTACAAAAATTGATAGCAGAGTTACTGTAGAATAATCATTTTGTTGGGTTTTCTAATTAGACAGATGGTATAAGTCCCAGTTGGTATCTTAAATTTTCACTTGTGATTCAATTTAAATTATTTAAAACAATATCCCATCAATAACAGAGCGGTGTGTGAGATCAATGACGCCGCATTAAAAGCTGACCGTTACATTTATCGGGAGCATGTACATCTTAAAGTAGGTAATTTATTTTAAAATTCTTTTCTTTTCAACTGATAAAACTGTTTACCATTACTCATATGATACAAGATAATAATGAACCGAAGATAATTATATAAAATAAAAATTTATTTTACATCAAAACTGTATTTTCTTTATTGAATCATTTTATAAGTATGTCAATGTTAATACTTTATAATAAAGTAATTTCCTTATAAAAAAAATCCTGCCTTTGATTCGTATATTTTTTTCTCGTTACTTATTAATATTTTTTATTGCAAAATTCGGATATTATTTTATGATATATCTCAATTATATATTTACAAAGTTAAATGAAATATTAAATGGGAAAATGTGTTTATTTTTTGTGCCATATAATTAATAAATGAATTTTATATTCCGCCGTCAAATAATATATTTTGAAGTAAACCTAAAACTGTTCTACGTCCAATAAAAGAAACTTTTCATTTATTATTACTTTCATCAAATCATTTTCAAAAATAGTATCAAAAATTTTATATTGTAACTCTTCCCTCACTTCTCAAGTTTCTATTGTCTAATATCCAGTATGATACTGGCGTGTAGAAGAAAATGTGAAGTTATTGAGATCTAAGACTTTCGCGACTATTCATTTAAATGAAACATTGTTATGATTGATTCAAAACTTCTTTAAAATAAAAAGTTTGACAATTGACATAACATGTCTTATAATTAACTCATTATGACGTTTATGCTTTCTCTATAGTGAAAATTATATCCATTATGTAGTAAAATGCAATATAGGACTGAATAAACATAAAAAAAATCTTCAACTAATAGTATAATTCAATTATTTTAAAAATATCTATTTTTATACTTCCATTACCTTACAACGATTTTTTTGTTTTTTTTTTTGTTATAGAAAATAACATAATAGCGTTTAAAGGTTAATAAACACGTC